ACCGGTGAGCTAATTTAATCGTAACCCCAACTGTGAGGTCAGCTAGCGGCGTGCGCAGTTTGCACGCTCGGTGCTCGTATTAGCTGACACATTAGAGGTACGTTGGCCCGTTTATTAGCAGGATTTCTGACCGGTTCTTCCCTGTACACGTGGCTGCATTCCCGATATACAGATGTGTTCGGGGCAGCCTTGGGATTCACTGACTGGCCTGACTGTTAGCTGAAGTAGCTTAGCCAACATGCTAAAGGAATGACTCACAAAGATGCTGCTGCGAACGAAGCAGCATCTGTGGGATGAATCGGTACCACGGAATCACTGCTCTCGTCATTAACGCCAGATTTGATTTGCAAATGTAACGTAACGTGACTAACTTCCAACGCATCGTTGTGATTTGTGATCGTGTCCAGAGGGGACCGCGGCCGGGGACGGGGAGGCCGCTTCGGCTCCCGTGGAGGTCTGGTCCAGGGGTGAGTCCACCTTACTCCGGAGAGTTGGTCGTTGATTAATACAGCATTTAGAGATCCAAATATGTGCAACATAGACTGTCAAAGGGAGCTTTTTGCCACAATAAACATGATCCATTTTGATGGTGGATTTCTATTGTTGGGAAAGTTTGTCACAGGTACCTTGAGAAGCTCTCCAGCTTGCTGTCTCAGTAGAGACGAGAGAAAAGGAGCTGGATTCAAGTTTATTTAAATAATGGATGTTTTCGATGAAAACATCTGCTGACCTGCTTTGTTGGGAGGGATTGTGGAATGTTTTTAATTATATTTTGATCATTATCAAGATAATATTGTTAATTACAATGCGTTGCAGATAGCAATGTTTAAAATGATTGACATCTTTTATCCATATCAGCTCCCGCTATTGGTGTGAAATAATACCACCCATCCAACTGGATGCCACGTGATTTACCGGTGGCCGCGGATCAAAGTCATTATAACAAAACCACCAGCTGACGTTTTCATCATTTCTCTCTAGGTACCGTCCATTTGTCCCACACATCCCATTTGATTTCTATGTGGTGAGTAAAAAAACCCTGTTTGGGGGGCCAGGCCTTAACATTTGACTGTTGTATTTTTTTGAAGAGCGACCTTGGTCGGATTAGGAGTGTTTCCCTGCTGTCTTCTGTTCTGACTGCAGCCAGCTTCTCTTTCACAGGGGTCACAAGGGTCAGAGTTCGTACGGTCATAGAAATCCATTGATCAAAATGTGCTCTGTCGCTCCTTTTAGCACATGTCACAAGGTCCGTACGATCTTCATCTACACGTCTGAGCTCCTCGTCAACAAGCACTTTCCGGTTTTGTTCACAAATACTTGAGGTGACTTAGGGTTGGGTACCGGTGCCATATTGGTACCGGTTCCTATACAACCGGTACCTACCGGACCAAAACGCCACGCAGATTTCGGTGGCTGAGCCGATTGAACAGCTCATTCTACCCTCCTGCGATGACTCCGTCATGCAGCAGCTCGCCGGCCATCTGCCGTCTATTGACATTCACTTAAGTCAGTGTTTCCCCTCCGTTGTAAGTCGATGTGTTCAAGAAGGGCGTGGCACGTAACCCGACGTCCCAGTGGGGTCATCGTACTGAAGTAGGCTGCTGTTTTGTTCCAAGTGTGAGATGGCCTTCCCCCGGGTGAAGCCCCCCCCCGATGAGACGGCCTTCAGTGAGTGTCTGCTGAAAAGAAACCAGGACCTGAGCCCCACGCCTGCAGAACAGGTCAGCCCCCCCCCCCCCACCGTCTGTCTGCCCCGGGGGTCTCTTCCCTTCACTGACCGAACCGCTGTGTGTTGCTTTCTTCCTGCTTTCAGTCCTCCATCTTGTCTCTGGTCACAAAGATCAACAATGTCATCGACAACCTGATTGTTGCACCAGGCAGCTTTGAAGTGGTGAGTCCTCTGTATTCGCAGCGATCCGTGCGCTGTGTACCACGTCTGTTCTGGTCCGAAATGCTTAACACGATATCGTTCACAGCAAATTGAAGAGGTGCGCCAGGTGGGCTCTTACAAGAAGGGCACCATGACGACGGGACACAATGTGGCCGACCTGGTTGTCATCCTCAAGATCCTCCCTACGTGTGAGTGGTCAGAAAGAATTCCTGTCAAATCGTCTCTCTGCTGCGGACGTTCTTACTGCGTACACACGTACTGTTCTGATGTTATGATGTCATTGGGGTGGTTGGCAGTGACGGGACCGGCCGCTCTCATCCCGAATGCGCCCTACACAAGGCGAGGATGCCGTCTTGTTTTTGTCCCAATTAACATGCCAACCTGACTGGTAGCGTGACCGCTGATACAATACATACAAACCTAACAAATGAATGCTGTGATTAAACAAGAGTATAAATCTAACCAGACATGTGATTCCAGCTTTTGGAATTTGACAGTTTTTGATTTTGAAGGGAAAAAAATCATTCATGCATCAGCTCATTGGTGTCAGGAGTTGGTCAGGTTTGTTGGGTCGCCTGTTGGACCTTAAAGAGCCCTCTTGGATTAGCCAATGATAGCAGTGCTATGGTAACCGCCATCCATGATGATGATGACTTTTCTTCACAGTGGAGGCAGTTGCTGCTCTCGGCAACAAAGTAGTGGAGACCCTTCGCGCTCAGGACCCTACCGAAGGTACCGCGGATACGTCTCTGAACTCTGGATCCAGAGCCTCCACCATCTACTCGCGCAATTCTGAGTTCATTTGTTGGCTGCAGCCAAACCAAGCCAGTTGTTTGACGTGTGTGTGTGTGTGCAGTGCTGTCCATGCTGACCAACGAGACGGGCTTTGAGATCAGCTCAGCCGATGCCACTGTGAAGATCCTCATCACCACCGTCCCTCCCAACCTGCGCAAGCTGGACCCCGAGCTGCACTGTAAGAGTTCAGATGCACAAACACATGCATACCAGGGGGAGGTTAACCCCCCCCGTCACAAACCCCATCGCCTGACACAGAAATCCCCAGATGCTCCTGGTCTGTGGCAGAGCAGTGTTGTGGATCTGCTGCTAGCCTGCTCTTAGCTAAGCGGACAAACGACATCTGAAACTGAAGCAGAGAGCCGGCAAACTCCTCTCCACCAAAGCCTCAGCGAAGAGTCTGCCAGAGAACATCCACAATCTTTTCCCTAAAAACTTTCAAGTTAGCAGCGAGCCATGAAAAGCGTCGCCTCCAGTGTCGCAGTCTAATCACTCCGCCTAGACTGTCTGTACGAGATCGCTACAAATGTGTCAAATTCAACCTTTGTGACAGCCCTAATTATTATGCAACCCAACGGCTTCTTGGTTTTGGGTCAGTATCTGCTCTGAAGGGAGGGTTACCCTTTGGATTTGCTCCACATATTCAGACCTCAGAGAAATGTTCTACATTTCAGTCATTTACTTATAAACACCGCAATAGAAACCTGCCCGCTCAGTTTCACTAAGTAACATAATGTTTATAGCCAACAATTCAGATTTATTTCCTCACCAAATTTCGCACCGCTTGGGCCCAAAGTTCTTTCCTTTTTCTTCCCTTATAGCTGCGATGGGTCGTTGCTGCATTTAATGATAGAACTGGTGGATAGGAGGATAGGTCTCTCTAACAGATGTTGAAATGTGTGAGACTTCTGATAATCAAATCCAGATGATGATCCGAGGGTTAATTTGTATTCGCTTCTTTCCTTCAGTGGACATCAAGGTGCTGCAGAGTGCTCTCGCTGCCATCCGCCACGCCCGCTGGTTTGAGGAGAACGCCTCTCAGTCAACGTGAGTCTCTGAGCTCCCACGAGGGCTGCTGCTTTCTAGTATTACAGAACGCTCCATTGACTTATTCCATGTTTGTATGATCATCAGAGTCAAAGTGTTGATTCGCCTGCTGAAGGACCTGAGGCAACGCTTCCCAGGTTTTGAACCCCTCACTCCCTGGATCCTGGACTTGCTGGTAAGACCACATACCTGCTGCTTAACCCAGTAAGTCCAGGACCCGAATACACTGCCGGATTTGAAAGAAAAACCCAAAGCGCGCGTGCGTGTACGGGACGTGTCATGTGATGTGGTGACGTCATGTGTGTTGCAGGGCCACTCAGCGGTGATGAACAACCCGTCCAGGCAGCCCCTGTCCCTGAACGTGGCCTACAGGTCGGGTCCCGCTCAGTCCACGTTTTCACTTGGCCCCTCTGGATAGGGCGTTGTTTGGAGATTTGTGTTGGACGTGTGTGTTTTGAAGGCGCTGCCTGCAGATGCTGGCTGCTGGGCTCTTTCTGCCCGGCTCTGTGGGCATCACCGACCCGTGTGAGAGTGGCAACTTCCGAGTGCACACAGTCATGACCCTGGAACAACAGGTAGGTCCGACAGCATCTGGTTTGGGTCACGGCTTGTTTTAATCTGCCCGTGTGTGTGTAGGACATGGTGTGTTTCACCGCTCAGACTCTGGTGAGGGTGCTCTCTCACGGAGGGTACCGGAAGGTCCTCGGCCTCGAGGGAGATGCCAGCTGTAAGATACTTTCCTTTCTCTTCTCTTGTCATTGTAGCAGAAATGTGAATGTTTTCTGATTTAGAAATTAAGCTTAAAAAGCGGCGTGCATTTTTCTAAACCTTTTTTTTGCGACACCCCCCCCCTTGACAGACCTGCTAGTTTTATTGATGACACTAACCCAGATGTTAGAAACTTTGCTCCACCAGTAGTGAGAATACAACCAAGCAGCACTGGTCAAAGCCCACTAGGCACTTTGCCTCGGATCGTCTCTAGTTAGTGTCAGCCTATCAGAGGGTTGCTTCTGTCTGCCTGAGACGTGACAGTCGTTTGACACCAAGTACAAAAAGCACTCGCTGACTTTAGGAATCGGAGGTGTATCCCTCTTGACTGCTGCGGCTTTCCTCTCTGTTGGCTTCATTTGCTGCAGACCTGGCCACAGAGATGTCCACATGGGACGGTGTGATTGTCACTCCATCAGAGAAGGCCTATGAGAAACCTCCGGAGAGGAAAGAGGAGGAAGACGAAGCTCTGGAGGAGGGAGGAGACGGAGAGGATGAGAGCATGGAGACCCAGGAATGATGACATCTTCACCAGAACATCAACGCTTTAGCAACTCCCAGTAATCCGCCTCAGGCTTGTCTCACACGTTCTGCGTAGGCCGATGAGGCCTGAGCTGCTTTTAAGTAAACCGCCCGTTCACTAACACTCTGCTCTTCTTCCAGCTAGAAGACGTCTGCTCGTGCACGAGCGAAAGCCCCGGCTGGATGGATTTGTCAGTTTTTATTGTTTGGTTTTTACCTCCTTGTAATAGCAACATACTGAATTAAACGTTGTTTTTTTATTTAACTCCAGGCTTGTTCTTTGGGTGAAAGTAGATCACAGTCGGCCACACTAATGCTCTTTGTCAGCGCCAAAAATCAGACACCCGTTAGTGTGTGTGTGCTGTTCAAACCTGCTAACCGTGATGAGCAGAGAGGCTCGAGCACTTGGACGAACACTTCAGGCAGAAGAGCTGGCATCCCTAAATCCCACTCACCAGTTCCACGCTAAAGAACCAGTCGGCAGCAGGCACATTTTTACGAGCCAACGCCCATCAGGAGCTCTGGACTGACTATTGAATGTGGCCTTATTCCGGTCGATCCAGCTGTGCACTCACAAGTTCATGCGGGATTTATGTAGGAAATTGCTCACTGGCAATCTAACACAACAGTTTTATTAATCTGAATATTTTGCTACTAAGACAGACAGACTTCCATTGGATGAGCTTTTATTTTTAAAAAGCTTCCTGTAGACAATTGTGTGAAATGTGAGGAGACAACTATGCTGGACCAATGTGTAAATTATATCATGGAGGGCGAGTTACTCTTCCATCAGTTCAAGCATACTGGTCACGGCTGATAATTAGTGCAAGTGTTATGTAACGCAGAGGGGAAAAACCTGGATGATTTCAACGCCACATTTCCAAATTGTGTCCACAGTGCACCAGCAGCTCTACACAATCTGTCTGCTAGACTGGCCGCTCTGGCTCATGGCTTGAGTTTGAGCCAGGGATGCACCACGGTGAGGATGGAAAGGACAGAGGAGACGAGGCCACAGGCCCCGACGAAGCCTGAACCTGTAGGGTAAATCCCTAGCCGGTCTAAGGGGATGAAGAGATCACAACCGTTCTTCAACAGGTCCAACAGCAGTGGTGGGTTGCTGTACAGCACCGTCATCAGTAGGTGGAGCTTTCTGCAAATCCGTGCAGAAGTGGCAGGTGTGGAGCGGGAGGACAGGGTTGTGCTGGGGGAGCAGGGGGGTTTGGAGGGTCTGTAAGGCCCTTCGTGCTCAATGAGGAGGCGGAGCTCATACACATCTCGAGTCAGATTGAGGATCAAGGCAAAGAGGTAGTACCTGCAGAGGGCAACCACAGGTATGTTATGTAGAAATGTGAAAGAAAAAGATTTACAGTGGTTTCATTTCTTCGAGGGCTTTTGAATCCATTCAAAACAAGTCAGCTAGTTTAAATTTAGACACAATCCCGATCAGTTTTCTACAGATCGCATAACACCTTAAAAGTGCTGTATTTTCAGCAGATATGACTTCATAAAGACGCCACTAACAAACGTATTATAGGGTGTCAATTCACATTAATAGTGTTGAATTAACCCTGGTTTATTTTTGTCAATACAAAAATAGGTCATTAAAACATACAGCAAAAAGGAGACTCACCTGAAAGATCTCTGACTCCATTTGTGCTGGTCCAGCTTAGAGACGAGGCCCACTTTTCCAGCCCACAGCACATTGTCACAGACAAAATACATGGCTCTGTTGAGGTGGCTGAGGGTCAGGCAGAGCCTCAGCACACCGTCAGAGAGGTGGATGGCCCTCTTGGCAGCTTCTAGTGCCTCCACTGAGTTCCCCAGACGCAGCACTGTGGGACACATGTGCACGTCAGACACAATCCTTCAGTTTTGTTGCTCGAAAAGAACTTGACTCTACTTGACTCACACTTCCTCGTCATGCTCATGTGTGCTTCCAGCTGACTGACAGTCCTGTGAAGTTCCGCCATTGATCCGCCTTTCTGCAGCGTGTGCCCCAGCAGGGTGCAGGCATACTGCGCGGCCCTGTCAGTCACAGAGCAAAGCACGCGTCTCAACTGCACGTCTGTTGATTCAGCTCGTTGCCAATAGTATATGCGCTGGTGTTAGTTTAGAAATACCACACGACGTTCGGTGTCATTTAGCAACAGTGTCTCCAATGCAGGGATCTGATTTGTCATGAATCCTTTTCGATGAACTGTCCACCCGGCAGTGATTGACAGAGAGAGCAGAATATCTCGTGTTTGTTAATACCAGCCTAGACGGGAGCGCTGGGTTTCCATGGTAACTTTCCTCAATGGTTCCGCTAGCGTAAAGTCAGGGGGACCAAACAATCCACCGTCCCTAAACTTCACACGCAGACCCCTTGTTGAATGGGAGACCTTCCGTAGACAACTTGCGAAATATGTCATCTTTCAAACAAAATAAGCAAACGAATTCAGACAACTTCATTTATTTAATTTGATGAATAAACGCATAACAACAAGGACAACAAATAGCCACCGTCTGACCATTACGCTAGCGGGCACGTAGCATTAGTTAGCTAACGTTGGCGATAGTTAAGTGCGATTTGAAGGTTTAATGTGTACTTTGTATTACAGTTGCACCATTACCTAATTACCCTCTCCTTGGCTTGGCTCTGGGCGTTGAACCGAACCCAGGAGTCCATGCTGGCTGCTTGTTCTTGACCTGGGAGCGCTGCTGCTGGACTTGTCCGCCGTCACCCGATGATTACGTCACGAAATGTAGCTAACGCTCTCTGTAGCCGTAGTTACCAGCTAACGTTCTCTGTAGCCGTAGTTACCATCTAACGTTAGCTAAAGCTCTTTGGTAGTTACCAGCTAACGTTAGCTAACGTTCTCTTTAGCCGTAGTTACCAGCTAGCGTTAGCTAACGCTCTCTGTAGCCGTAGTCACCAGCTAACGTTAGCTAACGCTCTCTGGTAGTTACCAGCTAACGTTAGCTAACGCTCTCTGGTAGTTACCAGCTAACGTTCTATGTAGCCGTAGTTACCAGCTAACGTTAGCTAACGCTCTCTGGTAGTTACCAGCTAACGTTCTCTTTAGCCGTAGTTACCAGGTAGCCTTAGCTAACGCTCTCTGTAGCCGTAGTCACCAGCTAACGTTAGCTAACGCTCTCTGGTAGTTACCAGCTAACGTTAGCTAATTTAGATTATGCTGTTTGATAAAAGTTGCTCAGAGGCGAGTGGCGCCAACGCAAAAGAAAATGTAACTTCCGAGTCACGGAAGTTCTACAGGGAAAAATTCTGATACATATTTTTAAACTTCGTTATTATTTTCAGATTACCAATTTGTGGTAACAAGCTGTGCTGTCTCGATATAACCATACAATTATATAATATATATATATCAGAAAGAAGCACCTCCTCCCTTCCTTGTGGATGCTGTGTGTTTACTAGTTTTGGTAAAGTAAAGCATCACATCATGTCAGGATGTAGAAGTGTTAGTGATTTAGGATTATCTGTGCTAGTATGCATCTAATGACTCTTCAATTTGAATTTATTAGGATAAGAATAGATTACTGATGGATTTACAGAATCTATTCAAAGTGACAGACAACCATACGATTGGTTATAAGACCATAAGAAGCACGGTTTGTGATAACTGCTGATGCCATTAACAGCAAAACATCTGAACTGTGTAAATATTTCCTGTATGTGTTTCAAAGGAGTCGTAAACAGTGAGAGGACAGTGAGTGAAGCCCGTCGAGGCTGCGTGTCTAATACGGTAAAGTTTGATTGGTATAATTCCATCCGTCACATTTTAATATACAGTCAACATTACAGAACATCACATTTTACAATGTAATAATTAAAAAATGAGAAGAAAATGATTATAAAGTAGACAAACCTAGGACATACATTGTGTCACAATAACCATGTTCAATGTGTTATGAATGGGAGGATTGATTCGTTTCATTTTCTTAGTCTGTGTCACTCAGGCTTCTCAACATCTGGATCTTCAGTGGTTTGAATACAGGATAAAGACAAATTTGATCCAGAAAGGTTTTTGCTAACTTTTACTTGAGTTATGAAAACAATGAATTAAATATATCAGAATCATCTTTCAGAACCTGACTAATGATCCCACCCCTATAGACGGTCATTTACTAGATACAGTTTATTTCAAACCAGCTCAGATCATTTTCATATTTTAATTGTGTCTGCGTGAACAAACTCCACCCACTGATGTAGACAATGACGTGAGGCAGACGGCCTGGAAGCTAGACTAAGGATTTCTTTTGTTTCAGGTCGTCTGAGTAGCGATGTGAGACACATCAGTGTGAGCATGAAGGGGGGTAAATGGTAAATGGACTGTGATTCACACTGATGTCAGGAGCCACCTGCCCATCAGCCACTAACATTCACACTCTACAAGGGTGTCCTCCAAATGATGACAACAAATGATCCTTGCATGGCGACTTATTGAAACACAAACAATACTCACATAACGAGAAATGTATTGTTTGATTACACAGCAGACACATATTAATGTGTCTGTCATGCAGCTTTAGAAGTGTGTGTGTGTGTGTGTGTGTGTGTGTGTGTGTGTGCGCGCGCAGGCCAAACATCGGCACCACCACATTAAAATGACTGCATGGATCCGTCAAAGTGTTCCTTTCATTTTCAAGTGTTTTTATTATAATGTAATTTGATGCTGATACATAACTTACTGTATTCATACTATCAAAGATGTCACAACCAACCCTATTCCTCTACAAGGAAAAAATGGATTATAATTTCGAGGCGTTTCCTGGAGACAAATTCTTCGATTTGGTTGTAATTCTAAAAAAAAAATAAAAAAAACTTGAAGGTTGGTACACTTCTAATTCATTAATTCCCATTATTGCTGGTGTGTTCCAGTCATGTTGAACATGCAACACGTGGCCCTCGTATTTCCCCTTAGTGAGCAGTCCTTCCTAAGAGACTTCCTGGGAAACAATTAGGTAATTTATATCTTTGCAATTACCTAATCGTTTCCCAGGAAGTGGCTTACAAACAAATCATAACGTAACTGTGAAAATGTAATTCCACAATCAGACTGTCATTTTCCATGTTATTTAAAGACAAATAAAGCAATGGTAATGGTAAATGGCCTGTACTTGTAAAGCGCTTTTCTAGCCTTCTGACCACTCAAAGCGCTTTAACACTACATGACATCATTCATCCATTCACACCCATTCACACACTGATGACAGGAGAACCACACACAGTGACACCTGCCATCAGTAACTAACATTCACACACTGTAGTCGCAGCTACAGGAGCCATGTTGGGTTAAGTGTCTTGCCCAAGGACACAACGACATGCGGGTTAGCCGGGCCTGGGATCGAACCGACAACCCTCTGATTGGAGGACGACCTGCTCCCCACAGTCACCCACAGTCGCCCTAACGATACATCCAATAATCCTTCATTCATTATCACTTGGTTTGGGTGTTATGCGACCATATGCACATTGACAGAAGACAACATTGAAATGTCAATTCAAATTAGAAAATCTAAATACGATTTCTCTGTTTACGCAAGCAGTATTTGAGTCATAATGAGAATAAAAATGCAATTTTCTAACAGTTTGAAATTGGAAAAAAAGATTTGATTTTATAAGGCATAATCTTTTGTGAGGTGGACAATATTCCAATGCAAATAAAAACAGCCTGCATTGATATGTCGGCACTGTGCATCTCGTCAGTCAGGGCATCCCCTCGTATTGTGGTATTTCTGTCACCCGCAGACGGGCGACACCAGCGTAGGCGAGGTGGCTGTGACGTCCCGCCTGCAGACAATGAGTGAGGGGCAACCTCAGTGACACCATGAAGAATAAACAGGCTACATTGTTTGTATTTAGGTTTCATTTTCAAAGTGTGTAGTATACTCAAATGATAAAATAATTTTCCTTTTCATTGTGATACGGTCATAGAACACCCATTCGAGCATGTGAAAATGAAGAAGACTTATTGGATTATGGCGTCTTTAAAAGGCCGACAGAAAGCGCTCACATAAGAAAAGCTGACAAGCTGAGGCAGAATGTAACTCGCCATTAGCTGTTCCCACATTGATATATCAATAAGGACGCACACATAGACAAGTGCAACGCACATCTGGACACATCATGGAGGAGATGTGATTTGATTGGAGAGAGATGGGGACCTGTCATGGTGATGAGTTTGCTCATTATCTACAAAAGCCTACTTGAACCCCTGTACCTCCCTGAATGTGGAAGAAGAGAACATACCATGTGACATGGATTTGTGTTGTCCATGCTAATATTACAACAGTGCAAAGCGTACTCATTCATATCGTACACTCACGAAAGACTAAGGCAATAAATAAACTATTCAGGCATGGTGAGTGCTTTGTCAATGTGTTTTCTATTCACCAGTTTGACACATTGAGAAACCTTCAATGAGCCACAGATACCTGAGGGGACCACAGAACACCATCGAAAGGAAAACCAAATCACAACGCGTAACATCGATCTTCACGTGTCTTTCCTTCCTACACTCGATGACAAAAGGCACAAATCACAAATGTGCATATGGCAGATCTTTCTAAGCAGCTCGTATCAGATGACAAATATCAACCACCAAGATTTCTCCAGTAGCACACTTGGATTCACCCCAAGTTTAAACCATTGGCATCAATTACATTGTACCTTCGTTGGGTCAAATCGCTTGTATAGCACATTTCTGTCCACCCGTCCACTGTAAGCCCGCCTGTGTCCTCCGAGCTCTGCTGTCCTTCTGTGTGAGTCACTTGTACTCGTGACTATCCCTCAAGAGTTCCATCTGCCAGATGTTCTTCCAAACCCAAATACATACTGAGCTCAGTGTTTGTTACAGACTACAAGCCTACAGTCCACCTCTAGAACTTAACCCGTTGTTACATCCAGCAGAACACTAAGGAAACACAAACAGGGAGTTCATTTTAAATTCTATGACTTGCTTTTGAAAACATCCACTTTAAGTCTCATCGGGTTGAACTGCATTGCTGCTGCGAGCGAGCACTGTGGACCCCTACGGTCCCCCTAAAGGTGGAATTCATGGCCTGCAGCAATGCTCTGTGTACCGGAGGCAGCTGAGGAGGCTCTTAAAGAGGCCGTGTGTAGGATTCGGAGAACCTCGCTGGGCGCTTGCAGATCACAACCGACTGGACACGTCTCCGCCAAGGGACGGACTGGTTAGCAATGTTTGCTTCCCTTTAGACGCCATCCATGACAACACGGCTTTATGGGCAACGAACGACACCGTCCTTCAGGCTACATAGAAAGGTGAGAGACTCTCGCGGGGGCTCATGTTTGGTTAGTCCAGTCTGAATATAATCTTCCTTTCTGCTAATTCATCCCCAGAAATGCTGCACACTGGACCTTTAATGTAAAGCTCATTGTTCACCAGCAGTTCTTAAATGTAGAACTAAATGACATATGGACAATCCGGCGCTTATATTCACAAATGCATTTACCCGTTGCATCTGTGGGTATAAAATGTTAAATGACTCGTATTTCTAGGAACCAATCCTGGCTCTTACCTGGGTCCAGTTTTAAACGTGTGAGTGGAATTTGAAATAGGCTTTGATTGTCTATGTATTGTAGTTTCCTTTAAGTCAAGATAGATGAACACTATTTGCTCTTTTCTAGTCTTTGATCCACTCCGACCTCTTTATCACCACATCAGTGATCCATTCACTCACCGTTTTCTCTGGTTAACTAGGATGAGGGTTTGTTAGGTGATGCAAACGCGTTTGGGACAAAGTGAATCCCCTCGATAGACTCATTGCAAAACAGTTTTCTCCGACTGTATTACATTATTGAAGGAGATGTGTATTATTTTCTGCTCAGGCTGTTTAGCAATCAGCGATGCCTTTCACTTCACACGGCTGGAATGATGCGCTGAGTGGTTCACTGCGTTGTACCTTTAGTTGACTCTCCTCTTCTGTGTACTGGTAAAGTATTGAGTAGAGTGAAGCGTTGGAGCCCAGGTAAGATATCACACAGGTATTCCAAAAGCTACTGACGTAGTATCACCTGACCAATAATATTCTGCTGCTTATGGTTTCAATTCTCTCCTCAGCCTTTATTTCAAAATAAGTACATTGTTACCTAATCTGAAATCAAGCCTGAATTATCAAATGAGTTTAATGGGAATAAAAGCATTATTATATTTACAATCTGGTTTGGTTGAAGTAGTGTGCTGTGGACACAGAGGCTCCCCTGCTGCTCGTGGTGGTCTCCGTGGATCCATGCAGCTTGTGTCGAGTGTCACTAAAGGTTCCACAGTCACACGTATCTCGCTCCTCCACATCACAGCACGGTACATTCTAAAGCTCAATAAATACAAAGCGGGAGTGATGTCGCCACCATCCAATCAGAGGGCTCCGTTGATTGACTTCAGCCCGTCAGTGTGTGCGCTTTAGGCGTAAAACAGAACGTGACCTTGCACTGTAGTTATGAGGTATTTTGGCTTTGGTGATTTACACCAACCATTTGGTTACATACAGGGCAGCACTGTTTCATTACAAAGAACAACAATATCACTTTAAAGCTAAATGTTTTTGGCTTTTTGGTACAAAAATAATACAGCTTGGGCTGAGCATAATACGAGGGCTAAACAGCTACAATGCTAACAGTTTATACCTACATACAGTGAAGAGCGCAGCACGAGCACAGAGATGACATAAAACGTTGTTGATCCATTTAAAGAGAACTGTGATGTGGTTTGTGTTCAGTGTGAATTTACTCACAGCATCTCCAGAAGTATGCAGTCCTCTCTTCATATACATCTGTGTGTACTCCATGAGTGAACGTGTAGAACACGCCTGTTATTTGAAAGGATCCAGATTGCATATCGGGGAGCTGGGTTTCTGAAACACATCCCTGGATTTCTACAATGCATCCGAATGTCTTTAGGACAGTTGGTCCGAAGTTGGTCAGAATCTTTACCTTCAGAGCTCAACTCCCTTGTTTTTGACTTCAGATTAGAGAGTAATGCCTTGGAAACACCACCAACACCAGGTTTTCCATTGATTTTCTTTGTGTAACATTGAGATACATTTAGCATATTTGGCAACATGTGTGTCTGTGTGTGCACATTCATAGAATCCGGATTGGAATTTAAACGTGGTTACGGCCTCAGTTAGCAGGCCCTGGGTCAGCCAATGGCATGGTGTGCAACACCTCATCCAGAAGCTGCAGCGCGCGGTGCAAGTGGACCTCCACCCAGCAGGGCGTGTGTTTGATGCTCTGCCGCGGGTAGTCGGGCCCCCAGCCCTTCACGAAGCTGAGCCGCAGGATGCACAGGCGCCGCAGGTCGTCCACGCCGATCCCCGCTGCTGCCGACAGGCCTGTGGGCGAACAAGTGAAATCAAAAAGGATACCTGCGTTTCCCATGTGATCCACACAACATGCAGAGTACTTTGAAGGTGCAAAACAGTTCGTCCGCTGAGGATTAAATGCTCTACTTCGCTGTGCACTTTTCTCTTTTTGCAGAGCGCCATTTGTTCCTCATTTTTCTCACTGTCTCACTCGTCTTTTCTCAAATTTCGCCATCTTTCTTTTTCTTCCTACCGTCTTTTATTTGCCGCTACCTCTCTCGTCTGTCCGCAGTATTGAGACGATATCGTCCTGCCTGGAATTGGACGAGTAGTATCTTCTCTCTTGAGAAGTAGTTTTCTTCAAGGATAGTCCTGTATTTGGCTCCATCCACCTTTTCCTCAATTGTGACTAGTTTCCCTTTGCCTGCTGAAGAGAAGCCTCCCCCAGCATGATGCTACCACCACGTGTCCCTCTTGGGACGTTGAGCTCCTTGGTCTTCACGATGCTTCTCTAACACTCTGAGGTCTTCACAGAACACGTGTATTTATACTGAGAGTAAAATGCACCAGATGTTGATGATGAAGTCAATTTAAATCTTGGTTATACCATGACAGAATGTAGAAAAGTACAAGGGGGTTGAATACAATAAGGAGAAATATGCAATGAAATATATCCAAAAGCTGCTCAAAAGCTGCATTTCGCTGCCGGGTGGGCTCATATAGAAATGTCTGTTTTATTATTCAATAGAAGGAGTGTCCGCCTGCATGAACCAGCTCCTTCCTAATGTACATGTCCAGTTCAGCACCTTGTTTTGTTCAATGTTTACTGACCATGAAAGCGTGAACACTTACTAACTGCAGGTGCAATGCCTCCGACGCTGCCTGGCCCGGGGATGTTTCCTGCCACGGCAGCTGCCTGTGCAGCAGCTGCAGCCTGCGCCGTCGCCGCCTGCTGCTGCATCTGTCTGTGGCACTGCCGCAGGTCGAACACCTGCACAACACGCACACACTGAGAACAGCTCACAGCTACAAACGGGTCACGCTGACTAGACGCTCTGCTACTCACTGGGGTTCTTAGATCAACTGAGTAGTTAAAGAGTCTAAAGAGAGAGGGTGGAGGATCCAGACCTTGATGTAGGCTCCGGGGTAGATCTTGTGCACGGCGTCGCCCGGTGCTCGGCCCGCCTCCCGGTCGAGGTAGTAGCTCTGTACAAACACAGCATGGTCGCTCATACAGCGCATCCACACGTCGCCCTCTCCGCGACACTCCAGCTGCACACCTTTACCGATATGCAACCTGCAACATAAAGCAAGTGCCCTTTATTTATTGTAAAATATAAAAGTACTTTCTTGATAGATGGCAGTGTGAAGGTTAGAACGAGGATTTATGACATGCACCAAAGGTCCCACAGCTGGAATCATACCCTGGACGATGCACCTTTAAAGAGCTGTGATCAGCTACTAGCACTCATAGCATTGTCTGCTCAAGTATGAAGATACAGTTATATGGAGCGCAGTGTGCAGTAGAAGATTCCTCTTCACCTACTGCTCAGTCCCATGTGGAACACATGCTGCTCAGGATGGAAGGCAGGAAGTATGCTGTCGATCCCCCCGGGCCGGCCTGTGACCGCTTCACACCTGACGGACGGACATTTATGCCAGACCACTACAGGTGACACTGCAACCGGCTTACGCAGACCAAGAGCCCACGTGACATGTGTGGGCATCAGAGCAGCTGCAAACACGTCATTCTACTTATTGGTCTGCAGCGTACGTGTGCACAATAACACAATCCTCAAAGCCTCTGTATGGGACTGTGTCCGGCGTTCTGCGCGTGTTGCTTGTTATTAGAGGGCAACATTCCGACTGAGGACGGCTGTGTTGTCTGTATTCACTATCGTGGCCTTTCACACGCTGCCCCTCAACGACATCTTGGGTACAGACTGAGTCAGTAAGTGGACGAAGACAGGGGCTGTGCTAACATGCAACGCAACACATTCCCATGTAAGAGACTCACCTGGCTCTCTCACTTGCGTCCGTGCGGTGAACGTTGCTCAGCTGTCCGAGGCAAAAGCGATCCCCCCCCGACGGGTCGACATAACCGTCCACGGTTACTATGGGGCAGCTGGACGGCACCTTGAACATCTCACCCACCTGAACGTCCATTTCAAAGTAGGAGATAGAGCACCAGAACTCTGGCCCTGTGGTGAAAAGAGAGTGAGTGTGGGGTCAAATGTCCTGTCTGCGTAACACATACACAGAATGTGGCCTCCATCATAACCATGGCAACAGACTGCCATTCCCATCTTTACTGAAATGTAGCATTGTCTCTACCAAATGACAAGGCAGACCATAGCAGGACATATACAGCCGTATGCATTTGGACTGTGACACAATCTAAAATACATACACTACGTATAGAGCACAGTTTACTTTCTCAATGTACTCTGAAATTAAAGCATAGAAAAAATAAAGAAATTGTTTTGTTTAACAAAATGTAATCTAAATGTTGGACTCATCAAAGTAGCCACCTTTTGCAGATGTAAGAGCCGATCAGACTCGCGGCTTTCCTTCTACAATGGAAATCAAATATTGTTCAGAAAGTTCTTCCCAACACTGTAGAAGTTCCCACAAATGTGTTGCACATGTCGGTTGAACCCCTGCCAACTAGGGGTCTACCAAAGGGCATTGCATGGCGCTGCAAGATGCTGTGGTAGCAGTCTTGGTTCAGGGTCGGCGACTCTGGATCCAGAAAAGAGCCTCAGACCATCACGCTTCCTCCTCCATGTGTAACACACCGAGGAACCGTCCTTCGCCTACTCGACGCCGTACAGAAACCCTGCGTGATGAACCGAAGATTTCCAGTTTTGATTCATCGGTCCACAAGGCCTTCCTCCAGTTTCAGCCGTGCACCGGCGGTGCCTCGTGGCCCAGGAAGCCTCTTTTTCTCAGCAATGGCTTTCTTGCTGCCACTGGATCTGTCAAACCTGCAGCTCGAAGTCTTCTCTTCACAAACTGAGGCTCGCTTACCTCGACGAAGCCGTTGTCCTGGGAGCCGCCTATCACACAAGATGTTGACTCGTAGAAACTGGTCTTCTGATCCTGTGGTGGCTTTGGGACTGTCAGAACTCTTCCTCACGTTTCCAAAGGCCTATTGATGGTGTAGGAAACTACACTGATACTTTAGCTTTCTTTGCAATTTCTCTAAGGGAAAGAGCTAGACTTTTAAGGGTCATATTGGTCTGTTCTTCCTTTGTTAATTTCCCTTTTCTCGCCATTATGAGACAACTTCCTTCAATTCAATTCATTTTATTTTGTATAGCCCAAAAATCGCAAATTACAAATTTGCCTCAGAGGGCTTTACAGTCTGTACACATACAACATCCTCTGTCCCGAAACCCACCATCGGCACAGGAAAAACTCCCCAACAAATGAGTACAATACTGTTCAAATAATGCAATGCAATGCAACAACTGTGTCACAGTCCAAATACTTGATAAACAAGATATGCAGCACCTCTTATAAGAACAGCTAAGATCCACAGTGAGCATAATCGTCTCTAACCTGGATGGTTGGACACAGAAGGAGGGAAAGAGGCTGAGCCGTGATGCTGAGGCCCTGAAAGACAGAAGAACATCAGTCCACAAAGCTGCACCCAACGGAAATGAGTCCCTACGCGGTCACTCCTCGTGGTGGTACGATATACGTCATGCTACGAATGGACGTGTTGTCAGCGTCACTACAACTACAACTCAAGACAGTACCACGAACTAGAATGAGAGAATTTCTGCTGATTCCACACTATGATATTTCATGCCAAATCATTCCTGCAGGTATGCACCCGGCATGCCACAGGTATCAAAAAGTGAGCCAACGTGCGCTAAAATACACACATTAATGATGGAAATAAAAATCTAGGATTGGCGTGATTTCAATTTGGAGTAAAAGGACCAGAAGTTGGAGGGAAATGGCGACGCTGTAGACATCTCAACGCTGATTGGCCAATACTCTTGTGACACAAAGATTTTATTGCAAAGATCCCATCACCTTTTGTCATTGTCTCACCCCATCGGCCGGCCAGTTGGATCTACTGTGTACTTGATGATAACATTGACAGGAAGGAGCAGTGGGATTCTTACAGTGGTGGTTTGGATGATGACCACGGCCGTTCTGCTGGGGTCCGATGGGCGTGTAGGAGGCCGTGCTGCTGCCTGTCCAAACAGCTGAGCCGCAGGGAAGTAAAGAATGAGCAGCGTTACCATGTGAAGAGGTTCAGCCTATGATTTTATGAGCACAAAAGAGGATTCATCGAAACATAATAATAAAATCATGTCTCTCATACAGCTCCACACATTAGAATTGTATTTTTACATTTTAGGAGAAATGAACACACAGTGGCAATGTGTTAACTTAAGTCTGATTACAAATATTCACACTTACTTCTATTATTTGCATTATACATTATTTTGTTATTAGTTGTATCTTATTTTTCGCCCAGGATGTATGAGGACGGGTATGGAAGACGGCCGTGAGGTGACTCCCATTGACAATGGGAGGACATGTGTGCTGATCAAATAGATAATATCTATATTATAATTGCCTACGTTTCCTATTCCCTTGAAAAGAAAACACAATGTTGGTTTTAAAGAATATCCGTCTATTGATGTTAATGGCCCTGCTGTCATTATCATTAGTATTATCATATTATTACCATAACTGCTCGTTATCATTGTTAATCTACTTTTGTTATTATTATCAATAGTAATAGGCAGTTTGCCCGAATAATAATAATGGCCAGCAGTAGCGGTAACCAAACGGAACAACAGCTCTGCATACGGGGAGCGCAAAACAAATCCATAAACAAAAAACAACACAACGAGCGTCTCGCCTGTCAGAAGCGATGGCGCATGCGTGGTCACCTGACCTGATATATCTTATTGTCCAATGGAAGAGATCTGGCGGCACTGCGTTGGTGAACGACCTGCTGGTCACTCACAGAGTGGCACCCCCAGTGGACTTTTTAGGAATAGCGGCCACTTTTATAGAAATGCAATTTATGTCTTTGTGTAATTCTCACAATAGCGAAGCCATCCGGCGTTTTTTGGGAGGAGGTTTGCTGTGCCGATGTGATGCCTCCGCACATCGTTTGAGTGGTGTGTGTGAGAACTCACTGTGGAAGGCAGCCTGAGAGTGTTTATTGCTGTAACCGTTCTGTCCATGCGCGTGAGAAGGAGGTAGGGAGGGCTGTTGGTGGGGGGGCTGTGAGGCTGGCTGGGCAGCCTGTTGCTGGAGAGGGGGTTGAGTTGGGGTCGGAGGTCGCGGTGCCGAGGTCATGACAGCAGCCTGCGGAGATGCGGTCTGGAGACGGCCGTCGGCGTGTCCGCCCTGCAGTGGCACCATGGAGCCAGAGACTGAAGGAGAACAGAGGAACGGGTCAGTAGTCACAGCTACAGGAGCTATTTGGTGCTAATTGTCTTTTGAGTTAATTGGCTTTAGGCAGGTAATTTAACCATTTGAGCAGGTCCTGACTGGTTAGTGGACCCCACACTTCCCTAACATATAACATTATCGTCTACGGGAGTTCTGAACGGCATGTCTACTGAAAAAGGATTGAAGAGGTTTCTACTGTGCCTCGTGCTAACTCGTCTTGTCCTCTCAATGAGAGACATGGCCTCCTCTAAGCGTATCCCCAACCTGCCAAACAGGAGCCAACGCAGATGGCGCCGTAAAAACTGCCTTGGCGGGACAACGGTGATGATAAAACCGAGAGACACAGTCATGGCTGCCTCAAGCTGCCCTCCTCGGGTGGAATGGTCACATGAGGCCCCTGTGAGTGGCCCTATGGGGAGCATGACTGCTGTACCTTTGGGTGAGACTGGCAGGTTAGTGTATCTGGTGACAGGTGGTGGTCCATGAGGTTCAGAGGACAGCTGAGGGGGATGCAAGGGCTGGCCATAGTGGTCAGGAGGAGGCAGCTTCATGGCGGCCTGATGGTCAGACAGAGGCATGCCGGGTGGCAGGTCCATCTGTATGCAGTCGTGGATGTACTCCTCTTTGATCAGGCTGCCCGGTGCTGCTGCAGGAGGTCGGAGGTGACAGCAGAGAGTTCATGCCAAGCATTATCAGGTTGTGAGGACATTTGCATGCCAACAGCCGTTGAATAATCATACAATTATTGAAATTTAAAATAAAAAATTTGTTTTGCTCATTTGTAGCGAATGAAAAAGGAAATTACAAGTGATTAAGAGTCGGTTCGTGACGTCTACAAAGCTCAATGTTCAGAACGTTTTAAAGTCCTCTCACTGCTATTTTTCAGCACAAACTCAAAGTCAGTGACTCATTTTTCTTTTTTTATACACACAATTCACACACGCACAATGGTCCCACGTCAGCAGGTGGGGCATAAACTTTGCCTTTGATCAGGAAATAAACGCATACAAGTCCCAGCTCTACAGTTCAAATGGGAAACAGGATGGAACTCACCAGTATTTTGAAGGCTGAGACCAACTGTGAGAGAAGACAAGAAGAACACCAGATGAAAACAGTTGCTTCACAATCTAAATATGCGTCAGTGATTCAAAAGAAAACGTCCTACCGATGCCTGGTGACACCACCCTTTCATAGTGGTAGGGGTTGACACATACATTGTCATACTTCAGGTCAAAGGCGTATTGGCAGAACTTGACATGCTTGAGTTCATTTTTGTGGAGGTCAGGCCAGCGCCACAGCCGTGCATAGATGACATGAGGAAAGCCTTTCCTCCCTGCCACCTGAGGAGAAAACACAAGGTTCCCAGCCGCCCAGATGTTACACAATGATTGTATCGTCTCTGGCAGCTCATTGTATTATTGAATTGTTTTACCGATTATCCAGCAGAATCCTATTGACCGGTAGAAGAGTCGGTGAAGTGAATCGAGTGCAAACGTTTTATAAACAGGGAACTTCCAGAACAGCTTGCTATGCTTCCAGAGGCACATAACGTAATCCATGGTGATCATTGGAACATGGCTCGTTTATGAAGAGGTGCTGTTACGGTGTTGCGGGATTTGGGCGTGCATTTCTTATATACCTTCTGATGCACATCTTCGCTAAAGCGTATAACATTACAACTTTAGGTACATTAACTGGACACAGTGGTCACAAATGCTGAAGCTTGAAGCTGGTATTTGTATCTAACCGGTAACAACACATTTGTTGGGGGAGCAAGGAGCACGGTTGTTGTATTGTTTTTAATAATCCAAATGTAATGTTACCATTAGGAACTGTTGTTCCAATCAGAGGATTCCCTCCCCGGCTCCTTAGTGTCCTTATGTTTACCACATAAGAGGTACCTCAGGATATCGAATGGTATATTGAATGTTTGGATAGATGAAGCCGCTGAGCCTGATGGCTGACTACAAATTGGGTGCTGGTGTTGATAGTCTGGTGACCGGTCCAGGTGGAGCTCAGTCAAGCTTCCCTGCAGCACATACTTCCCGGATCAAGTCTCCGTTCTCTGTCCAGAGGACACAACACGACCCCCCTAGCTGTCTTCCCTTTCTGCAGTAATTGTTGCGCTATTTAGCAACGTTTCCCTATCATATGACGTATATCTTAACCTCCCCCCTTGTTTTCTATTTATTGAAAATGGATATCAAATACTTCTGAATATAAGAAACAGACTAAATGTAATAAGATCAAATGCATTCAAAGAAGACACTTCTTCAAATCTAATTTCATTGGAAAAGTGATCATAACAATCCAAATCAAACAGTGAGATATGTTTCTAATTGTAAAATCTGAAAGCAAAGGATGTATTTAACATTCAAGAGGTATTAAAGAGAAGCCCACGTGCCGACGTACAGAGGTGATGAGGAAGGGAACCCAGATTCAGTACTGTGAGAGGCGCTCTGACCTGAAGCCGGCCGTCCAGCGTCCTCTGGATGGTGACACACTTGCTGGGATGGACACCGTTGGTGGTGATGGCGGTGATGAGCGAGTCCAGCTCGTCCTTCTTCTCCTTCAGCTTCTTCACGAGGCTCTCGATGGCCCGCTTAGCGAAGCCCTCGTTCTCCCCTCCCTGCCGGTGGCACATGAGGCTGTGGACGATGCTGAGGCAGGCGTCATTGCTGCTTGGAGGGTTCACAGACATGATGCTGCCGACACAAGACACAGGAGACGGGCCCGTTATGTTCAGCAGCAAGAAACAGATGGAAATGTGTTACGTCTAGCAGGCCGCTCCTTTGACTACTATGTCAGATCACTATTCCAGGGGTTTTAACCTTTCCACCGTGAGCGCGCGTACGCGATCAAAATGGCTTGTGTTCTTGTTTTGAAGTGACGGATGTTTGGTTTGGAAATGACCTTCAGGCTGACTTGGGTACACGGCCCTGTTGCACAGCTTTTCCACACACTAAGCGTACCCGAGTTCCGTGTTCAGTCCACAACTCTGGAGGGTGGAGTCGTTGCCTAGAGCCTTTCATCTGGGTTATAGTTTGGTCCAGCGCCAGGATCAGAACCAACCAGCCTTCCTTTCCTTCCTCCTTCCAGTTCTTCTCGTCATCTCCCTACCGTGCTAAATCAACCCGGTCATCACTACGGCAACTACTGCACACACACACACTGGTATGAAAGAGCATCTAGTTACCATTTCATTATTACTGCCACTATATCTCAGGCTCAGACGCTCAACAATTCCAAATTATTTGCAGCAACTGAATGGTATTTATTTGGACTGATTAACCCACGTGACGTGACTGAATCTCCCAGAGCACACTGGTTAGAATTCGCATGGTTAAAGTACAATGAGGGGGTGCAGGTGACTGGACACAGGTGGGAAATGGCTCTTCGATCAGGAAGGTTGAGTCAAGTGTCAAGTGATAAAACACATGTGGGGACACAGCCGAGCTATAATCCTCTTGAGAGGACAAAGGTATCAACCAGAAAGACATCAGTGTTACCACGTGTGAGCACCGACAGGCAGTGTACAGAAGAACGGAAGACATGTGTGTTAATGTTCATTCCCGTCATCATTCACACACACACACACACACACACACACTGATGACAGTGCAAGAGGGCAACATACTCATCAGGGTTTTTCCCAAGAATAATTTCAATTGAGAAGCCAGGGATCACCTGCAATCTGATTGGTGGACAAACCACTCTAACCACTAAACTAAACATATCAGAAAATGTAGCTTATTTACAGAGCAAAATCCCCAATTATGAAATGATGGCGACAACGCACTGATATATTGGAGACAGTTTGTCCAAACATGCTAAATATATTTTAATCAAGCTGTCAAAACATGTCCCCAAATGCCAAGAGGTTTGCCTGACGCTCACCGACTGCTCCATTACTAAAAGTCCATTGTCATGTCAGCTGTGTGAAGCATCGGCTGCTCAGAATTTTGGGATTGAGCCGCTTTCTTCTGTCGAGCAAGAAAGGGCTTAAACCCAGGAAGGGCTGCTTGAAGCTGTATCACATTCTGCAAAGGCTTTAATTACTGGAGCAATAATCCCGGTCCCTTAGAACAACAGGCACTGACACACACATATTACATGACAAGACACAGACATGACAAACAAGAAAGGGTTCATTGTTTCTGCTGTCTTGCTTTAATGAACATGTCATTATTACTTGATGCTTATGACGTGTTGTCATTGTAACACTCATGCAAATGGAGCATATTGAGCAAATTGATGGATGACATTTTCTATTTATTTTGGGGTGTTACTTTGAATTGCGGCAGGTATTAAACAAGCTTCTATACAGAAAAAGTCCACATTTGCAAACACTGTGCAGCCTTGGAACCACAAGAGCCCAATGAATACAGGAAACCTGGACCCCCAATCTCCAGCCTTTGCTGCTCACACAGAAAAGTCTCGGCAGTAATTGTCTTTACACTGTAGCTATTTCACAATTTCAAACTAAATCCAAGCAGCCGTGTTCAGGCGGGAGGATCTAGGACGGCTTAAGTAAATGCATCCATTCAGACCGCGGCTTTTTAGCTCATAGCTACCTGGCTGCTATCACTCCTTACCTGGTATTGAGTTGGTCGGCCAATGAGTGACCACTGGCATCATGATGGCCCAGCTCTGAGTCAGTCCCTGTTAGTGGAGCGGGGAGACCGGGAGTTAGTGTGAAAATCCAACATTTATTGAAGACTGTCAGTTATATAGAAATCCTTCTCCGGATTTTAAGTTGTGATACCGCATTAAAAACAAGAATGGTGATTATTTTACCAGTAAAATCCACTTAAATAAACTATTATGCTTGACGGCCTTTTAATGATGATGCTCATTTTAAGACTCGTACCTTGTTTTTAGGGTTTCCACCTCAACACGTTGACATTTGATGTTAAAAAAGCATATTATTTTGTACCCTGTATTCACATTGTGCCTGAAACAGTCCGTTTTAGCGCCTGTCTCATGTCTCATTAACATGTAGAACGTATCACCATCAAAGTGGGATTCTCATAATGAATCCCCTTTAAATGGACTATACTTGAATGTCTCTTTTCTAATATTCCAACCACTCTTACACTACATGTCGTCATGCACCCGTTCACACACCGATGAATGGAGCTACCGTACACAGTGACACCTGCCCGTCAAGAACTAACCCATGAGCTGGGGATCGCACTGCTGAAAACACAAAGTCAAATCACATCCAAAGAACATTTGGAGGTGGTTTAAAATTCCAATCTCATTTCTACTGACGGGTCTCAGTCCAGCCGGCCTTGAAAGAGGATTCCAAATCCAGAAAGGACAAAGTGCTGGTGAGAATCCATGCTGCTACAAGCACAGTGCTACTGACACCAACATGAAAGGGGCTTTAAGGGGGACTTTTTCCTGTGCTGATGCGAGGGTCCCAGGAACCTCCTGCAACACACACCATTTATCCAACACATCTAAGTGACACAGGAGATTCCAAGGGTGCCAAAGAAAAATAAAATCAATAAACTCAATTCAAGAAAATGAAAGACAGCAATAACAAAACGGTATGTTGTATCAGCAACACCGTTTTTAACGTGGGACGACATACAGATCGGGTTTCAGAAACAAATGTGAATTGGCCTCGTATGTGCGTAAAGTGTTTGGAGGGTGGGCCCTGTACATGTTTGTCCTGGGTGCCGGCCCCTCTTATCCAACATGGCCCTCTCACGGTGCTACGATCACACAGGGGCCTGACTTTAATTATTTGGCCCTCAGTGTGTGAGGTGGGGTGCTGAACACACAGCCCCCAGACCAACCACTATCCTAGTACACACACATGCACACACGCAGTTTAACACACAGAGCGTCGGCTGGCAGTTTTCTGCTCACTTCTTTACCAGCTCAGTTAGGTTTAGGACCAAAGTCAGAGGCACATGACCACCAGTCTCTTGGAAGAAGCCCCCCAGGAAGAGCAGCCGGCTTTCACCCATTACGCTAGTGGCTGAATCACGGATTTGTAATTCATTCAGCCCACAAAGACTATTTTTCTATAAACTGACATGAGGGAAGAGAGACATCCGGGAGTACATTTGTATACGAGGAATTCCAACTACAAACAAATGTTGTAAAAAGGTTATTACGCTTCCCCATGTTAAAGAGAACTGAACTGAGGCTTGTGCGTTCGCTCCCTGTGCCTGTGAATGCAGAAAATCGGCTACTTTCATTTGAATTGTTTACTCCAGAATCTAGCTTTTTGTGCTCCATCCCCCAAAGTTGTATCCAACGTCTGTGTGAATCCGCGGTTCTTTAGTTTACCTGCATTTCTGCCTTCTGTAAGTAGGCTTCTTCACCAGTTAATCACCTGATTGGGTTTGTGCCACCAACCCGTACTGTAACTTCCCATCAACAGGTTGCCTTCGTGTGTCTGTGAGTACGAACGTGGAGCTCAGCTGCAGTGAAGGCTCAGACCTCGGAAGTGTTCTGTGGCTCTAAACGTGCGGGCTGGTATTTGGACCTGCACAGTGTGTTTACACTAATTACTCTGCTGTGGTCTTTTTGTGCGTATCCAGTAGTGACCAGTTCATGTGTGAAAGCCAAACAAAGGAATTTGTATCGGAGCACCAGCGCGCGCAGTGTGAATGTATATATGGTTCATCTCTCAGACCTCGTAATGGGCATTTCTTTCCTACCAATTTATGATATTCTAAAGAGCAAAATATGAAGAAAAAAATGAATTCTGAAAATGAATCAAATAATCAGAACAATTCAATCATGGCAACACTGTATCCGAGGTTACGGTATGTGAATGTGTACTTAGTGACTTCACAGCTTATCATGTCACTTGTATGTACCTCGCGCGCGCGCTTCAATCTTAATTGATCGACGTCTAAAGCCAATGTGATAAGCGGAGGCCCCGCGCGCCCGATGCGGCTCCACCAGTGTGATGGAGTGTGGATCGGGTCATATGAGCCTCTCAGAACCAGGCCATGCATTCACCTCCCTGACATCCCGGACAGCCGAGCCCTCCTCGGGCTCCACGTCCAGATAATCTCACACACGAATAGATCCGTGTCGGTAACAGGACTCGTCGATCCGACCGCTCCAAGTTGAACGAAGAAGTACATGAGATGGGAAGCAGACGCAGGCCGGTGCGTGAAGGCAGGTTACAGTAAGCCACCATTTAGCGGGCTGACTGCCCGACTGCCGCCTCCTGTCCTCGGGCAGCCCGCGCAGCAGAAACAAGACGTGGAGGTAACGAGTTGGTACTTACACATCAGCCAGAGTCGAGAGGAGAAGTTAAACGAAAAGATCGCAGTTGTACTCGAGAGGCGCGTGTACGTGTTGTGCGCGTGGACCAGAGCCGCTGTCTGTGTTTACACTCGTTGGTCCCGGACCCGGAGCCCGGTAACGGACCGAGCGAACGTCTTCCCCCGGTGCGGAACGCCGCGCTAGCTTGACGCGTCTCGGTTGTTTTAGTCTTCCAGCAGCCCCGCTGTCTCCTCGTGCATCCTGTCTGCTCCCCTCGCGCACGCCACAATAACAATAGAGGGGAGACATCGTGCGCGTCGGCGTCTCGACGTGCTGCAGCCAATCGGCGGTCGGGTCTCACAGGGGATCCGCTTTGGGCCAATGGAGCGGCGGCTCTCGCGACAGGGCCGCGCGCCACAGTCTGTCTGGTTCGTCTAGATTGACAGGTCCGCGAGACTGTTTTTTTAAGGTGGCGCCGCTGAGATTAGCCCCTACCCCCACACACACACGCACGCACGCACACACACGCGTACACGTACACGCACGCACGCAAACTGCAACTGTTAGTCGGGCACCGCTCTTTAATGGTCACAGTTAACATGGCTGGTACTGTGTGGCCTGCCGTATATTCAGTGATTATGGAATAAATGTTAGTTTAGTGTTTTTATGACACGGCTTCTTCAGGCTCAGTAAGAACGCGGACTGTGATTCAAAGTGATTGCTTTCATTAGCATGACATGTAATGTAATAATGACAGGAGCTCTGCAGGGATTGGAAATAAGCCTGTGATGTAGATGTATGTGTGATAACAAATCTTCCAAATTACGTTATGACGCCATGAGCGCTCCTCTCTGAGTCATTCACAGTGATTAAATATAGTATGAATGCTTCCTTTTCTCTACACTGAGAAGATGCATTCTCCCATTAGAAGGATTGAATGATCCTTTAAAAGCCTTTCCTATATTGCTATCATCACCCACCCAGTGTTACTTCTAAGGTGCTAACAGCAATAAATCATCGATACGTTATCACTTCTGTCCAATATCTTAATGTTGTGTGATGCAATTAACATTGCAGCCTTCGAATAATGTGTTATGTAATACACAAAGCCTGAACGCAGAAGCAATATTTGGTTGTCATTATATTACATAATTATGGAGATAACTCCGACACACTTTTCATCCTCTAATGTCAAACAAGATCAACATCATTTGTGATGCTTTGTGTTCCTTTGCTACGACACATGTATAGAATATAGCGAGTTTTTTCATGCGTCTTCATACTTAAGCCTACAATGTGTTCATTTAGGCTGATGCACAGGCTTTGCACTAAACATCTGTCTTCAGAAAACTCAGTTAGGTTTAAGCAAAACAAAATGTTGTGAAATTGTGAAGTACTAAATACTAATATTGGTTGAAGAAACACAAATAAAGCCACTTTAATATTCATATTCCTCGAGGCACCAGCGGAGGAGGTGGAGTAGCAACTATTTTTGACTCTAGCCTTTTAATAAACCATAAATCTAAACTAGATTATAGCCCATTTGAAAGCCTATAGTCTCAGTCTTTTACACCCAACCTGGAAAACGATACAGCCGGTTCTCTTTGTCAGTGTACGGGCCCTCAAACGCACAAAGCAAACTGTGCGGACTATGTGCAGTTATGGCGTTCCACCAACTTAGAATAATATAGGCTAGTTTTGCGAGAAAGCCTTAAATCATATAAGAAGAGCAGCTTATTAGCCATCATTAATAGAGAAAAACCAAAACAACCCCTGGTTTCTCTACATCACTGTAGGCCGACCGACAGAGAGTCACAGCTCTGTTGAGCCATCGTTTGGACCTCAGTAGTAATGACTTCTTAACCTACTAAAGCCCGGATACCTACTTGGATGGCTTCTCTCCAACATCAACCTTGATCAACTGACTTCTTCTATTTCAAAGTCTAAATCTTCTACCCGTCTCTTGAATCCGATTCTGACTACGCTGCTGAAGGAAGTTTTTCCTTTAGTCAGTACGTCTTTACATTATGAAATATCATTGTTGAAAGGACATGGACCACAGTCCTTCAAGGTAGCTGTAATTAAAACTTCTTTGTTATCAATGTTGAAATGAATCACTGGTAGCCCTTTGTTTTCTTCCTGAAACCGGTCACGTGATAGGGGGGGGGGGGGGTGACGAATCAGGTTAGGATACGTCACAACTGCTATGAACCAATCAAGTGGCAAACGCAAGTGTAGGCGTAATTGTTGTTAAACTGACCGTTTCCCACCGTGCACACAAAGACAAGACGTTCCCGTTTTCAGGCTCATCTGTCCTTGGGAGCGTTTCTAAACTTTCGGTCCTTTTTCTTCAAGAAAAAAGTCGCAAATCTGTTGTGTGACTTTCTACATAACAATGGTTTAATTAAGTATATTCAGTCAGGATTTATAGAGCATCATAGCACAGAAACAGCAAGTGGAAATGAATGACCGTCTACTTGCATTCAACAAATGACGTGCTGAAACGTATTGCTTCATTTGATCCCATTGACATCCCGTTGTTGAAAAAAACACTATGAAAAAACGGAAGAGGGAAGGAGTTACCCGGCCCGGAGGAAGCCAGGGGCCCCCATTTGGAGCCAGGCCCAGATGGAGGGCCCGACAGCGAGCGACTGGTGGCCGGGTTTGCCGCGGAGCCCGGCCGGGCGCAGCCCGAAGGAGTGACGCAGCAGCCCAAGACTCTACTCACCATTGGCTCACCACCTGTGGGGAAAACCGATGGGGTCGGGTGCGCTGCTACAAGGGTGGCAGTGACATTGGGGAGTCTAGGCGGAACAGACCTGGGCGGCAGATGCTGGCTGTGGGGACGTGGAACGTAACCTCTCTGGGGGGGAAGGAACCAGAGCTTGTGCGGGACGTGAAGCGTTATCAGTTGGATCTGGTGGGGCTTACCTCTACGCACAGCCTCGGCTCTGGAACCACACTCCTGGATAGGGGGATGTCGTTGGATAGGGGATGTCGTTGGATTTAGCATCGGTCGAGTTGGTGACATGTCACCAACTCTCACTGGAGCGTTTTGCAGTTGAGTGTGAAGCGGTCGGGATGAGGATGAGCACCTCTAAATCTGAGGCCATGGTTCTCAGCAGGAAACCGATGGATTGCCTACAGGTAGGGAATGTGTCCTTACCCCCAAGTGAAGGAGTTCCAAGTACCTCGGGGTTTTGTTCATGAGTGAGGAGAAGATGGAGTGTGAGTTTGGCCGGAGAATCGGAGCAGCGGGGGCGGTATTGCACTCGCTTTACTGCACTGTTGTGATGAAAAGAGAGCTGAGCCGGAAGGCAAAGCTCTCGATCTACCGGTCAATCTTCGTTCCTACCCTCACCTATGGTCATGAAGGATGGGTCATGACCGAAAGAACTAGGTCACGGGTACAAGCGGCCAAAATTGGTTTCCTCAAGAGAGTGGCTGGCGTCTCCCTTAGGGATAGGGTGAGAAGCTCAGCCATTCGTGAGGAGCTCGGAGTAGAGCCGCTGCTCCTTTGCGTCGAAAGGAGCCAGTTGAGGTGGTTTGGGCATCTGCTGAGGATGCCCCCTGGCGCCTCCCTAGGGAGGTGATCCAGGCACGGCCAGCTTGGGAAGAGGCCCCGGGGAAGACCCAGGACTAGGTGGAGAGATTGTATCTCTGCACTGGCCTGGGAACGCCTTGGGATCCCCCAGTCAGAGCTGGTAGATGTGGCCCGGGAAAGGGAAGTTTGGGGTCCCCTGCTGGAGCTGTTGCCCCCGCGACCCCACCCCGGATAAGCGGCTGAAGATGGATGAATGGATGGATAAAGGGACATTTGATTGATATTAATTAAAGAAAATGAACTAAAATGCCAAAAAAAGTCCAATTTGTCTGATCAATTCGTTTTTGTTGAAATGATGAAACCTCTATGACTTCCATTGTTGGTCCCGGAGTTCCACATGGTTCTGTGCCTGGACCAATTTTATTTACCTTTTATGTGCTTCCTTTTACTTTTACATTACATGACATGCCATTTAGCTGACCCTTTTATCCAAAGCGACTTACAATAAGTGCATTCAACCCAAGGGACATAAAGAAGAGCAAGAAACAAGAAAGTGCAATTTCATCAAATAAGCCAGTTTACAATTTGCTATAGATAAGTGGCATTACAAGTACAATTTAAGTACTACAATTTGTTAGTCTTTTAGTCAAGGTAGAGTCTGAAGAGGTGTGTCTTTAGTTTGCGGTGGAAGATGTGAAGGCTCTCTGCAGTCCTGATGCTCGTTCCACCATTTAGGAGCAGGACAGCAAAGAGTGGTGATCTAGTCGAGTGTTTTGCTCTCAGTGAGGAGGAACAAGCAGTTTATCACATGCAGAGCGGAGAGTGCGGGTCGAGATGTCGGGTTTGACCAGGTCCTGGATGTAAGCTGGACCCCATCCATTCACAGCACGGTACGTGAGCACCAATGTTTTGAACTGGCTGCAGCCACCGGTAACCAGTGAGGAAACTTTTAACTATTTGTCAGAGGGTTACACAATGTTATCAGAAAAGACTGCATAAACTTTCATTGACGACTGTTCTGTGTTTTTTGGTGGACTGTTCTGTGTTTTCTGATGCCAGATACAGGATTATTGTGATTGTCTGACAAACAACCAGATATTTAATGAAACCACGAGCTTCCACCAGGACATTATTTGCATTACTTTCAAAAGTACTGGAACTCGATATGTTCTGTCTACATACAATTTGAGTCATGAGTCATTTGATTTGACCAAAAGTAGATGCTGAAGATGCTAAACGCTGCTAACGCTGATCAGATTGCAGCCAGAATTTTTATTTTGAAAACAACATTGGACAAAGCATTGCAGGAAAGCACATTACTGGACAAACGGCTGACTAAACCAAAGGAAGGAAAGTCCTCATCCGGTTGCAGTTTTCAGCAATGTGTGAGGACAGAGCGGGAGCAGGTTCAGGGTTTACTGGGCGAGCGGGAGGTGAACACTCCTGAAGCCTCCAGCATGGTCTTTCGTCGAGCGGTCTCCTTGGCCACATTGTGGTTAAGTCGTCTCAGACGTTCCTGGAGACACAATGTTTAGGTCATGTGGCTGTTTTTTTTTTTTTATTTTTTTTTTACTGTTTGTCTGTCTCTCTTTTTCTGTAGAGACACTTGTGCAAAAGCCAGATGTAAGAAGGTGTTGGGGACTGACTGACTTAGAGCGGGTTCCTCAATAAGAGGATTGGCGGTTTGATTGCCGCATCCACTAGTCCATGTGTCCTCGGGCAAGACATTTAACCCGAAAAGCTCCTGTAGCTTGCGACTGATGGCCCGGTTTTTCAGGGAGTAGCAGTTGTTACTACAACAACGAATAATTTCAAGTGTTGGTTGTAATATTGATAGGGGTACAGGTATTGTCAATGGTTGGAGTAGTAGTGGCTGTTTGAGCAATACCACTCAAAAGTACCGATATTTATACTCTTTTACCTCGGTCTCTTTAGCTGCCACATGCTCCACCAAAAAAGAAAGATGATCAAAAAAGATGTTAATTGGTGCAGCTTTCAGAGCCACTGACCTGAGCATTCTGCAGGATGTTGTTCACAAGCACCACTCTACGTCTTGCATTCAGCAGCTTCTTCACATAAGGGTCCAGGTCTAGAGCCACCTTTTGGTGTTCATTTATCCGGCACAACTCTGCAAAGAAAGTACATAAAGAGACAGACGAAAGATCCAATACAAACATGTTATTTAACGTAAATATGTCATAAATATGTCTCTATAAAAGCAATGCTATGTATATGAATACAATAACGTACCTGTAGCCAGATTGTCTATATGTTCTCTTAGTTCTACCTGGCTTTCTCTGTTATGTGGAAATGAGCCCCATGAATCCAGCGGCAGATTGTACAGAGAAACAAAAAACCCAACAGATCAGTTCAAGTGTAGAACAGATGTGCAGTTTCATCTTTTGTAAATACAAGAACACACATGCATCCAAACGACCACACCCTGAAGCTGAACACGTGATAGGAAATATGACACATGCTCAAACAATAAAGGCTTATACGTTCTAATATATGTACAAACAGTAACAACAACAAAGTAAAAAAAAACACATAGCACCGGACCGACACATTCTTGAGTGTCACGAGACAGTGAAGCGGGTCAGCTCGAGGGGGGACGGGGGTCTCTGGACCATCCAGACAACGATGAAATACATCCGCATGTACCTCACTGAGTGGACGTGCACGTCGAGCTGCTGGATGGCTGGTCTCAGCAGGTCGAGCAGCCCCTCCGCGACAGCATCTTTGCCGGAGGAAGTCGTTACTACAGCAGCTGACGCCATTTTAGTAAACAAGCGACACTTTAAGCCAGACCGGAAGCCACGTCACTTGTTGATGACGTAGCAGAACGCTCCATTTTCTTCCAGTGGTCAGTAAATTGAGCTAGCAGCACCATTTTAGGAAGCATTTTGCATTTAGCCGGGGAGAGACTCGAATTCAGCCAGAGTTTGTGCATTTCTTCGAGCGCTCAGTCAGGAAGTTGGCTTACTTCAGCTTGTACTTGAGTACGAGGCTTTAAGGAAAGACCACACGGCAGCACCAGCTAGCTACCGAAGCTAACCCTAGCTGGCCGCAAGGCTTTTCTACACCGACGCACCATTCACTGTAAGTACAAAATACTGGAAATGGTTGTTGGAGACACTTCAATTGTACTCAGGCTTCATAAATTGATGTAGAATTTCCTAATCGGACCGCTGATGTGATTAGAAGTCCACGCCGCCCGGCTAACTTAACGTGAATGAACTTGTGTGCGTTAGCCCAGTTGAGCTAATAGTTCCTCTGGGTGAAGTATACACATACTGAATGAGGGCATCTCACTTCTGTTAGCTAGCAATATTCCGATTAGATCGCGTCTCTCTGAGCATCGAGCTAACCACTCAGCCAGACGATATCACGTCATGGTCGCTTCATCTGGACCGTAGTCCAGAATCATCATGCATGTGCTCGTCAGAAGGGGACGTCTGCTTCCGTTTGCATATCTTCGATGAGCTCGCAGCTGTTAATACCAAGTGTTACTGTCATCCGGGATAGAGCACAATACTATTCCGAGCCATAGACGTCAACTTTTTAAATTTCAATTCCTTATCTAACTTGGTTTTGCCACCATTGACATACATGAACGATCACCGAAACCTCCTGAGCTACGTGACCAAAGCGCTGGTCCCGATTTAGGATGAATTGACAAGCTTCAAATATAAAAACGCGTTTCTTGGCGTGATCCACTGAGCTGATTAGCAGTTTTTCTTAACTGGCCCAAAATAGAATAAACCATCAGAAACAACCATGTTTAACTTTCCCATTATCTTAAGTGTAATACAAACAATGCAACAGCATGCTGGTAAATGTTGCCTCTCATGGCTTATTGCTGTCTACATCTTTCTGTCCTTCTGGCTGCCCGGTGACGTTGTTTTATTTTCTGTCCCGATTCCAGGAGCCTGCAAGCAAAGTCTGCCATAATGAGCGCAGCCTCCTCCCAAAAAGTTGTGCTGAAAAGTACCACCAAAGTGTCCCTAAACGAGCGGTGAGGCGCCACGCACCCTGTCAGCAGTTACACACCAGATGCAAGGGCCAGCCGTGGCTTGTGACCGTTCTAGTGCTCCCTACGGAAGGCTACTGTTGGGGGACCCGACCTGACATGGATGCTATTCTAGCCCTCCCCAGTGTGTGCACTGCTCACTCACCCTTGTTGGTTCCGTCAATGTTTTCTGACGAACCGGTGGGGTTGGATGTGATTGTAGCGTGGAGAAGAAGGGGCGGACCGAGGCCTGATATCTTGTGAGCAGTACACACACATAGACGAGGGGAGAGGGCAGTGGTTGTTCAGGCTAAGCGTTGGTTAGCCTATGCTGGACCGGACCACTGTCCTGCAAACGCTCCGGCACACCTGCTCACTTTTAAACGGCACAGTATACATCAAGTATACACCAAAAAGGGGAGAGGAAGGCTTAAGCTAAACCAGGATGATGAGGCACCTCTCAATCCTTTCAGCCTAAACCAGTGAAAGTAAAGCAAATGCCTTTTTTATCCTGCTTGTGTCTCTTTCTCTTCTCAATCTATAAAAGACCAGATACTCAGTCCCAGCTTGGACGTGACAAAGAGATCTCCTTGCCTCTTATCTGCCCATCCCTTGAGTCTCTGTGGTTTGACCACACGTCGCGGTCCTTGCTGTAAGTGGCTGGGTGGAAAGGCACTCCTCACGTCCAGGGCCTCTGCTGCTGCAGCGCCATGACACCCAAGCCTGGCAGCTGGAGGCCTGTAAGTGGCAAATGGCGTTCTTCTCTCCCTGTCTCTACTTCTGAGTTTTTCTTTCTTAGTTTGCCTTTCTTGTGCTTCTTTGAGAGAACGTGCTAAATTCAAGTATTAGTCATTCTGGATGGTCATGTCGTTGAGAAAGTCAGTGCCAACATCTGGAACATACGTCTTGCATAACCAAACGGCCACCGCCGTCTGCGTGGCTTCATCCGTTCTATGAGAAATTGACTTGATGTGGAACCCTGCTTCCTCCTCCTCCTGCATATCCGCTGTCCCCCTCTTTTACTTCCTCCCTCTTTTTCCCTCCCAACTCCAAAGCTTCACTAACATGCTGAAGAACAAGCAGCCCACAGCGGTTAGCATTCGAGCCACCATGCAACAGCAGCATTTGGCTAGTGCCCGCAATCGCCGGCTGGCCCAGCAGATGGAGAACCGGCCCTCGGTGCAAGCAGCTCTGAACCACAAGCAGGTGAGGCCCACAGAGCCGTGTTTTAAGACACTGCTGCCATATTGAAGAAAAACTCCTGCTAGTATTTTATAAGAAATGTTTGCTTGATTCTCAGTGATTAATTACACCTTATGGTTTACTAGATTATTGGCCATTAGATGTGGTCAATGCTTGTTTCCTCAGTTTGTCTGCCTGGCTGGAGTCTCTGATAGCAGACAGCATTTACAGTTGCAATCAAAAATATTCAACCCCCCCATTGCACATTAGGTTTATTGGCAAAATATACAATTTCTCAGCTGTTTGCAATAAACAAATTACACATGAATTGTTTAAGTAGTTTAATGAAACTGATATTACAAAGGTTTTGTCCAAATTCCAGACAAAATGCTACTTTTAATGAATGAATTTACTGCAGTCTCAAAATGATTCAACCATTTCATGCCGAGCATGAGGACAACATGCAGCTTTTGAGTAAACAAAAAAAGTAGGCTATCATGAGTCGTGTGACGGGACATTTCTATTTACAAGCTGGAGATGTGATGGTAACCAACCATCAGACGTGTTCAGAGGTCTGTGTGGTACCTTGTAGCTGCCTTGCGTCCTTCAGTGGATGGAACGGCCATGCGGCACTCCGTCCTCCGTAAGTTGGAAACATTTAACTGTTGGGTTAGTTACGGAACAGTGAGCCTGCTCCTTCGCTGCGCCTCCGTGTTTTGTTCTGGTCAAACCCAAAACTGGGTCCATATTGGTAAAACATCATTTCCATGACCAGTGGGTCAGGGGACAATTCTGTCACGCCTTGTTCGCAACATAAGCGATATCTCCTCTTGTAAAGGTTTGCGTGTGGGTGAGTGAGGAGCAGGTCGTCCTCCAATCAGAGGGTTGGCGGTCCGCTCCCAGGTCCTGCTGACCCGCATCTCGACGTGTCCTTGGGCAAGACAAGACCCAACATTGCTCCTGTAGCTGCGACTACAGTGTGTGAATGTTGGTTACTGATGGCAGGTGTCACTGTGTGTGGTTCTCCTGTCATCAGTGTATGAATGGGTGTGAATGGGTGAATGATGTCATGTAGTGTTAAAGCGCTTTGAGTGGTCAGAAGACTAGAAAAGCGCTATACAAGTACAGTCCATTTACCATTGTATAAATAATAGAGCTATCTAGTTTAAAAGTAAAAACATGGTTGTATGAACCTGTTCTAAAGGGAAAGTAACTTCTGATGACATCTGTTGTGATCTGGTGCCATATAGAATATCAAACAAAACAACTCGTTTTTAAGGGGCGTGGCTTTTAACCAGAAATAACAATTTGACACTTGCTAACATTAACAATGCTTTAGCAGTTATTAATAACCGGTCGATATCCCCTTGATGGTTAGATGATGTTCAAGACACTTCAGCCCAAGTAGCTCGTGTGTGTCAGTGTTTCCCCCACCAACAGGGGGCACCCCCCACTCCCCCCTTTTTGTTATTTGTCCACGCACGGCAGTTGCACACTGACATTAATATGTTGCAAATAAGTCCCTTTGCCCCCCCCCCCAAGTTGTAACCCTAGGGGAAACCCTGTGACTGACTGTGGGCGGGTGTCACTCTATGGTAGCTCCTTTCATTGGTGTGTAAATGAGGCTTATGAGCCAACAGAATGCGGTGTCTGATGGGAAGTCTGCACACATCAGTTAGTCATTAATCTCCACACAGGGTTCTATGCTTCGGCCCTCTGTTCTTGGTCTTCAAACAAAGGCGTTGGCCTTGGTTGAGCGCCTCTAGCGTCTGCCTGTAGCATGTCTGCTCCTCAGAACCGCCCCCCTTGTTTCGCTGATATGGTTTCGTGAATCGCCTGTCAGAGCCTGAAGCAGCGCCTGGGGAAGAGCAACATCCAGGCCCGGCTGGGCCGGCCTGTCGGGACTCTGATGCGTGGAGGAGCTGCTGGAGGTAGAGGGGGAATGCGAGGGATGAGCAGGGGCGCCCTCCGAGGAAGAGCCAGAGGAGGAGTAATGAGGGGAGCCCTGTCCCTTAGAGGTGGGAGTCCACAACCTTTCCCAGTAACACGGATCTGATTCATGGTGTCCCTTGGTTTGCTCTGACTGATATTTCTTTGCTTTGCACAGGGAAGCGAGTGACTTCCACAGGGGTCCCGATGCGAGGTCGTGGCTTTGCTGGCCGTCTGGCAATGCGTAGAGGAGGCCGCCACCGCGGAGGACTTCCCGGCAGAGGAGGAGCTCTGTCCAGAGGAGCAGCACGAGGTGGAGTAGCAGTCAGAGGTCAGAGGATGATTTAGTTTCTCTTAGCAAAGTCAATTGGATTGGTGCTGTTCAGTCACTGTTGCTGTGTGTTGGTGGACAGGACGTGGAGGACTGCGTGGGCGCGCTGGTTTCGCCGGGCGAGGCGGTCGTGGCCGTGGACGAGGTCGAGGTGTTGGCCGACAAGCTGTAACCCGTGAACAACTGGACAACCAGCTGGACGCCTACATGTCGAAGACCAAAGGCCACCTGGATGCTGAGCTGGACGCCTACATGGCCCAGGCAGACCCCGACAGTATGGAGTGATGCTGGAGGACACATGCAGAGTCACTGCACAACTGTACAGCTGAACTCGCCCCAGAGTAATGGGTGCAGAGTCGATCGTTTGTAATTTAGATGAGCAGTGACAGTCCAGGACTCTTAGCTTTGGAACGGCAAGAAATCAAGGTTTCCCTTGATCATGCTTCGACCACTACTCGGTTCTACATCTACCTGCTCGTGCAACATCCCTTTTTAAATCTGGATTAAATGTATGGAGGGACCTTTTTAAACATCAACAAACTCTGCCGTCTGTAGACCTCATTTTTTTATAATTATTTTTCCTCTTTTAAAAAAAAAAAACTATGACCAGAGAAACGCTTTAAATGTTTAGGACAAGATTCTACAACGGTCAATGATCTACGTGATGTGTTTAAACTTCTGTTGAAACCATTTTTGAAGTACACCTGTTTAATTTTACATGTGAGTTTAGCACACGTGTGCTGAGAGCTTTTGGGGGATTTATTCATTGGCTTGTCTTGGCAACATTTACAAAACTTTTCTAAAATATTTGTCCAAAGGATGTAAGCAAAAGGTTTCCATTTGCCATTGTTTTGTATTTGAACTATGTAGTACTTTGACGTATTTAGTTCCTCTGTATCTTCCACCCGACGCATTCTTCAGTGACATGCTGACATTCTTAACTTGTTCTTGAGAGCATTTGTATGACATCCAAAGCAAGTGAAATAGGGAAATCCTCTCCAGTTTTAATTAAAACCTAATTGTGTCACTTGAATGCATTTATTTTCTTGACTTATTGTGTATCAATAAAATAAGCGGGTATGTCCAAAAAAGGGCTCATATTAGATGTGTACCTGGGGAGAGGAAGGCCTTCAATTAGGTGGGAATGAGATTTTAAGGGGTTTTCAACCTTAGTGACCCCTTAACGTTGCTTGTCATCAGTTCCATACATGTACTGGACTTGGGTGGAAAGTACCATTAAGCTGCATAAGAAATACCCCGATGTGGCAGACTTGTGTGTCTCCGGACAGCAGCAGGGGAACAGCTGCTGGGTTTCTATTTTAGGATCCTTTGGGCTCCTCACCAATAGCCATAGCACACGACGGATGTTGTCAGGCCTCTAACTAAGTATCCAGTCATGTTTCTCACATTCTGTATGTTGTGCATGAGGGGAAAAGGGTGATTTGGGATCTCCTTCTGTATCTCAATAATTTTGTCTTGGGTAAAGTATTTCACAAGCAAATAAAATAGATTTGAGGCAAGCATAGAAGAAAAATATCTTTTATTGGGTAAATTACTTGTCAGCATTATCATCTTTTACAGGTCATTTAGCTGACTTTTATCCAAAGCGATTTACAGTAAGAGCATTTCAACCATAAGGATACAAAATCAAAAGAACAAGAAACAAGAAAGAAACAAGAACAAGAAAGTGCAATTTCATCAAATAAGCCAATTTATAACTTGTTATAAATAAATTGTACTTATGGCTCTTAAGTGCTACAGTTAGTGTTTTAGTGGAGGTCTTTAGTCTGAAGATGTGAAGGCTCTCTGTGGTCCTGGTGTCTTCAGAGACCTCCTTCCACCATTTAGGAGCAGGACAGCAAAAAGTGGTGATCTAGTCGAGTGTTTTGCTCTCAGTGAGGAGGAACAAGCAGTTTATCAGATGCAGAGCGGAGAGTGCGGGTCGGGATGTCGGGTTGGACCAGGTCCTGGATGTAAGCTGGACCCCATCCATTCACAGCACGGTACGTGAGCACCAGTGTTTAGAACAGGATGAGCCACCGGTACCAGTGAAGGGAGCGGAGGAGTGGAGGAGTGTGGGAGAACTTAGGTTAAAGACCAGTGGAGCTGCTGCATTCTGGATGAGCTGCAGAGGTGGAATGGTGGTAGCAGGAGACCTGCAGGAGAGAGTTACAGTAGTCCGAATCAGTACCTGCGCCGCCTTCTGAGTGAGAAGAGGACGTATCCTCCTGATGTTGTAGAGCATGTATCTACAGGATCGCGTTGTCGCAGTGATGTTGGGAGTCAGGGAGAGTTGACTGTCGAGTGTCACGCCGAGGTTCCTGACAGTAAAAGTGGGCATTTACACGTTGCCAAAATTAACAGTCAGGTCCTGGGTCGGAGAGTCTTTTCCCAGAAAGAGAAGTAGTTCAGTCTTGTCGGGGTTGATTTTCAGATGGTGGGCGGATCCACTGAGAGATGTCAGTCAGACAGGCAGAGATCAGTGCCGCCACCTGGGTGTCGAGTGAGGGACGGAGAGAGTTGGGTGTCATCGGCATAGCTGTGGTAGGAGAAGCCATGCAAGCAAATGACAGCGACGAGAGAGTTGGTGTAGAGCGAGGAGAGGAGGGGACCCAGGACGGAACCCTGAGGAACTCCAGTAGTAAGGTTACAGATCCTCGCCAGGTTACCCGGTAGGTGCGGCCCTCTAGGTAGGACGAGAGAAGAGAGAGAGCAGAGCCTGAGACACCAAGTTCCTGAATGGAGGAAATAAGGATCTGGTGGTTGACTGTGTCAAATGCAGCAGAGAGGTCCAGAAGGACGAGGACAGAGGAGAGAGAGGAGCTCTAGCAGTGTGGAGTTGTTCTGAGACAGCGAGGAGAGCAGTCTCTTTGGAACGGCCTTGAAGCCTGACTGGTGGGGGTCAAGGAGGTTGTTACAGTGGAGATAGGAGGAGAGTTGGTTAAAGGTCGCAAGGGAAGAAGAGAGACCGTCTGTAGTTGTTTTCTTCAGAAGGGTTGAGGGTAGGTTTCTTCAGGAGAGGGTTGACTCTTGCCTCCTTCAGAGAAACCAGCCAGATAACAGAGCATTGTTGATGAAACAAGAAGGTCAGGAGCGATAGATTGTGGAATATGTGATGGAATGGGGTCAAGGTGGTCGGACGGGCAGAGGTTACTAGGGTAAGAATTTGGTTAGTAGACAGGGGGGTGAAAGAGGAAAGTGAGGGTGATAGAGGTGAAGTCAGTGGGACGCAAGTAGTAGGAGGTGGGTTTGAGAAAGAGGAGCGTATGTCAGATATTTTCGGGGGTAAAATAGTTGACAAAGTCTCATGGAAGAAGGGTGGAGGAGGACTAGGGGGTTCGAGGAGGTTGGAGAAGATAGAGTTTTTTCGGGTTAGAAAATGAGGACTCAATTCTGGATTGGTAGAAAGAGATTTTGGCTGCAGAGAGAGAGAGAGAGAGAGAAGAATTTGAAACGGTCGTGGCACCGGTTGAGACAGCCACGGAGCCAGAGGGGATTTACCGGTCTGTCGTGTCGTACGAGGACAGAGAGAGTCTAGACTCTAGAGGAGGAAAGAGTTTCTGCAGTCTCTGCAGCAGCGTTCGGATGCAAGAGTGAGAAGGAGTCAGTAGAAGGGAGATCTGATAGAACAGAGGAGGCCGGAGAGGAGGGAGAGAGGGAGCAAATCTTAAATCGCATAAGCGGGTTATAAGTTTGGGAATTTGTGTCGGCGAGGTATTAGTGACTCTGTTGTTTTGATAAGTTCTGTATAAATATAATTTTGCCCTTTATTAATACTATTATTAAATTGCAAATAGTCCCCTACTGCAAGACTGAGCCCAAAAACCTGGATTATTAACTGGACAAAGGATCCCCAGAAGGATCTAGTCTTTTTTTACGTTTTTTGCAATGATCTCCTGCATTTACTGACATGACCAGACAGCTCATATTCCCCCTGGTGCTCTATAAAGTAATTATTAGAGCACAAAGCAAACTGGAGACACCAGACTTCACATCTGCTGTCAATCAGAAAGGCAGTGGTCAGTTTCGGACACGTAGACAGTAGTCTTGTGACTTTAAAACAAGGCAAACAGGTCCATGGAGAAAGTATTTGATATTCGGCACTACACAAATCATTTATCGTTTATGGGATTTCCGAGCTGCCCTGAACGCGCGTTCTTGTCGGAAAGTGGTTCCAACTGACGTAACTCTCCCTATAAAGGCGTTCGCGCCTCGTCATTAGCTCCTCTTACCCCGGTCATCCGAGTGGACTCACAGCGGAGACAATGCAGGTAACGATACACGTTAAGCTGAAGTATTGAGCCAAACCAAAGGGACACCAGTGTGCGCGGCGCGTCTGCATGCGGTCAAGACATGACTTTTGATTCTTTATTTAGTCGTTAACCGTGTCGTGCATGTACTTGCGAGCAATATCCGCTAACTGCTAAAGTAGCTAACGCAACCGCGGACTCGTTGTATCGCAGGTATGTAGTCATTGGGTTCGATGCATCCTCGTAAGGCTGGAGCCTATAAAGGACGCATTTACCAAGTAACGTTACAGCGTTAACGTGGGACCGTTCTGGCCGAGCACGCTCGTGCTCCACCGACTAATGCCGGACATCTGTTCTTAAATGGTCTGATTAGACAGAATATTAACTTTACTGTGGCCCTAATAAGCACAGTGGCTTTGTGCGGATTTGAGAAGTCTTCCTGGCACTTGGCTGTTTTTTGGCGCGCACCACGTGTCGTATCGGGCCTCGCACGCCGCGGTGCAGACTCGTCTGCGGGGTTGTCCTGTGCAGTGGGCTGATCCCCGACCAGCTGTGGCTATAGAACGACAGGTTTTGCTTTCACCTCTGCACTGCTCGTTGCTGAACTGTGACAATGAGGCCTGGCACATGTCCCACTGTATACGACTGATCTAAACGCGTGTCTCTGCAGGATGTCCGCATACAGCTGCCGGCTGTGCTGCGACCCGAGGTGAGCATCACGTGCTTTCTTATAGGGGGGATTTTTCACATTTAGAATTAGCTACGTTATGTTGTAGATTGTTTTACGCTTTAATTCAATAAAGCTCTTCCTCAACGGGAGCAGCAGCTTGTAACCAGAACTGCGTCGTGCGCCCGGTGAGAGCTCTGGTTCTGTCTGGTGGGCCGTGGAGCTCACACAGTGCGCAGAGAGATTCGTTCCCTTGCAACCCACTGCTGTGCCCTCTGCAGCAGTGTTACTTATGGGAATGGACAGCTGTTCGCTTACAAATAGTTATGTTCCCGAGTGCCGGTGAATACACTGATTTATGAACGTGCAGTCAAGACTTTTCTGAGATCCTCTAATGGCAGAAGGCTTCTTCTACCAGGTGATCTCTTCTAGGCTGCGGATGATAAACTCATCAATAAGATGCTAAAATGTAGCAGTTGGGCTAACTCAACTTTTGTGTGTTTGTTCACTGAGAGAATAAAGTTTTATCACAAATCATGTCAACAATATGATTTTCAAATTTGCATTAAATGTTAAAGCATCTCTGCTTATGGCAAACTTATTTTAATTTAGGCGAATTATGCAAATATTTAGTTTGTTTCCAGCTTTGAATAGTTCCAGAATTTCGCAATGCTACCTGACTGTAAATGAGGAACCAGGATTGTTTAAAAGGCCGTCCATTGTCTCTAATGGACTCAATGTTCTGCTGAACCACTCAAGTTTTCCAGAGCAGATTGTTTTGAATGACACCTTCTGGATGGGGTTCAGATGTTCAATTATGACTTTTCGGATTAATTTATTCCATGTGGCTTTTAGCCTGTCAGTGTTTTGGGTTTCAAATGAGTTTCTTCACTGGGGATTGAAGTTTGTCTGTTCTTCTCTCTCAGGGATTGTGGACCTGAGGCCGGCTCGGTAAGTTGAATATTCTGCGAGACAACCTCTTTGTGTCATGATGATCGGCTAAATGTTCAACTGCTCTGAAGTGTGATTGACATCTGCCTCTCTGAACCGCATGCTTGCGTACTGATGAGTATGTGGGTTCCTCTAGAACATGTGGTCACCTCCCTCCTCCTTTTTGCAGGTTTCCTCCCCGCACTGGTCTTCTGACTGATTGCTGTCATGTAAGTTCTGAGGCTGTGCGTTCTCACTTATTTCCATAAAGCCAACCTGCTTAGTGGGTGAGCGACCAACAGGATGGCAAACCAGACGCATTACGTGGTGTCTTCAACTGGCCACAATAAATAGTGACATTTCTAATGGCTGCGAATTGACCAGAATACAACCAAAGCACTGTGTGGTATCTGCAGCCAGTTGGTTCCTCAGCCGGTTTGTTCAAAAGTCAGTGCTAGAACAACTCAGCGTCTGGCATCGTTGGTCTCCATGCTGCCTGTGTGTGGAGTCCTGGTATGGTTGTTGAGACACTACTTAACTAGTCAATGTATCAACTTAAGTGACTCATTTTATTGTGTTGACTTTAAAAGTGTTGTCTTTGTAGAAATGCAGCTTGTTGTGCCATTCAGTTGCACAACAAAGATGTCCTTGTGTGTGGCGGATTAAAACTTGTCTAATGGACCATTGTTTTGTCTTGTCCCAGGTTCCTGCTGCATGAAGGCTTGCATCCATGTACCGTACCAGGTATTCAGGCACTCAGGTTGGTTGAAGCACTTGGCCGATGGTGGAGCTGAGGTCTATCCCGACGGGCCTTTCACTGTAGGGCCATGTCGTTGGAAATACCTCACACAGTAACTCTGTAGTATCGCTTTACCCACATGTTCACTGCCATGAGCATAGTGAGATATAACTGCAGAACACGAGTCTCTCCACAAACCCCTCAAAGTCCTGCAGTTTGTTTAGTTTACAATTGCCTGCACACGGCGGCGTTCTGCCCTGACGGGCGCATACAGACGTGCACGCAAGCCCAGAGCTCATTGCAAAATGAAATGTTGGCCTCTGCTTTTGGTGATGAATAAGCCTTTTAATGATATAAGTTGAACTTAATTTAAATGATTTGGATACCAGCGCTTGTTCTAATGGTAGGGCAAACGCTCAGTTGGTTGTGTGCAAGATGTTAGCATTAACTTTTAGTAAAGGGGTATAAATGATTCAAAGATTAAGAGTTTGACCTGTTTTGGAAAATGTTTTCAAACTGAATTTTCTGTCTAAAGGAGTCAGCTGAGGTGGTTTGGGCAGCTAACAAAGATTCCTGATGGGCGCGGCTCTCCAGGCAGGACATGCTGAAGGGTTCACATCTCCCACTGTGATGGCAGACTGAGTCTCACAAGCTTGTGTGGTAAGAATTTTTTTCGTTCTGTTTTACCTAGTTGATGACAAAAGCACTGTGTGGTATCTGCAGCCAGTTGGTTCCTCAGCTGGTTTGTTCAAAAGTCAGTGCTAGAACAACTCAGCGTCTGGCATCGTTGGTCTCCATGCTGCCGGTGTGTGGAGTCCTGGTATGGTTGTTGAGACACTAAAGTCAGTTTTAATGCAGCATTTGTGTAATGCTCATCAGGCACTCCAAGGTGTCTTTAGTGCAGTGAGCAACATTTTTAATGGTGTCGTGAGTAGTCAGTTACTGCTCAATACACCCACAGTAAGCACAGTAGTAGTAGTAGTGTTTGCTTTAAAGGAGCTTTCATGCACCTCTAGTCATGTGTTCATGATTGAGTACTGAGAAAGCGATCATAGCGTTTCTCACACAAGCCTTTCGTTCCTCTAGGTCTCTGCTGCTCCCTGCAGGTCTCCAGTAGGCGCTGACTAGAGGTGAGTGAAGTAGTCTGGTGGTGGTGACCCGTGGAGCTGAGGTCTATCCCGACGGGCCTTTCACTGTAGGGCCGTGTCGTTGGAAATGCCTCACACCGTAACTCTGTAGTTTCGCTTTACCCACATGTTCACTGCCATGAGCATAGTGCGATATAACTGCAGAACACCGCGGCGTCTTGTGTAGTTGACGGGCTACATTTCCTTGCAGGTCTAAAGTCTGGGAATATTGTCTGAGTTAAAGATGGGTGATTTGGCTGAAATTCCAAACTTTTTCCAGAATTGTGGAAGCTTCCTGGAGTCGTGGCGTGAACAGTACCAGCAGCCTCTTGCAGTAAGTAGTAAAAGCTGTGTGCTTTAGTGGTTGGTCATATACCAAGGCTCTCGGGACTCCCCATTCCTGATCTGCTGTGGAATTGACCAGAAAACAAAGTCCATCCCACTGGGCTTCTCCAGCAGCCTGCTGAGATGACCTGCTGGGAACAAAGTCTCCTGTGTTTGTGTGTGTGTGTGTATGTGTATGTGTACTGTGAACATGGTGTTTAACTCACTGATGACAACCTAAAAGCTGGACTGCATGTTTTCTATTTGCAGGTTGATGGTGACGTGACATCGAAGCTGCCACCACTTTGTTGCGTAGAGGTCATTTGAAGTCAGTCTATTAATAAATGCAAATTAAAGACTCAGAACTCTTGTCTCTGTTCTATATGAAATGTGTTATTTCCCACGTATTAAATCACTCGAGAGCTTTCGGCACTGTCGTTAAGTGTTTTTCTTTCTTTTCTTAAGCATCTGAAAAGTGGTGCCTTAAAGCCAACCAACGTTTCAAACGTGTTGGGTAAAGGTCATGAGCAGCTGCTGTAGTGGCGCAGTGCCTCCTTTAGTGGGCAGTGTACCGATTCTTGCAGGAGGACCACAGCATGTCTGCAATAAAGAGGACACATCGATGTAGCCTTTGCAGGCCAATAAAGTTTTTAAAGGTTATTTTTCAAACTAAAACATTAAGTTGACTCCGGTTTCTAGTTGGTATCTGATGGGATTGTAAATACAACTGTTAATTTAGTTTAAAAAGAATGCCACCTCAAGGCCAGAGCTGCAGTCATCAGTCTAATGGATCAACAAAATATCCCAACCCACTTGTTTTTGTCCTCACAGGATGTGCTCTGCTTCAGGGAATGTGATTACCTGTAGTATTACGGTGGGAGGTGCAGCTTTCTAAGCATTGGCATTGAGAGTTCAGTCTACATTCAGAACGTGGTCGACTCGTGCCTGCTCACCCGGCATCGCCTTGTTGGAACCAAAAGATTTATTTCACAATAAATCCAAAAAACGATCCTGTTCAAACGCACAAGTATGCCACCACGGAACTACCAGCACATGGTGGTCCACCACCTAAACACCTCAAGGTCCGCGCCTTCAATTTCAAGCTCTTCCTGGCTTCCCCCAGTCTTTAATCCACCGTGGCTCCAATCTCATTGCTTCCAGGCTGGTTTCACCTGGTACTTCCAGTCAGGATACAGGGGAGCAATTAGGGGTTAGGTGTTTTGCTCAAGGACACTTGGGACATGGAGCAGCTGGGACTCAAACCGCCAACCTTGTGGTTCCCAGCTCCCCCTCTACCCCATGCGGCAGTCAATTGGTATCTGAAAGTATCACTAGATATCATTAACTTTTGACGAATAATGCAATTAATACTAAAATGGTTATTGGTACTTCTCTTAAATTCTAAAGGTAATTTAATGTTAACAGCCAGTTGGAGCTGGAAAGGAATCTCTTTGACGACTCCAGACAGCTGTCTTCTGCCAAATTGGACTTCTGCACCTACCAGACACGGCTTAGAAGTTGCAAGGACTCCTCAAAGGAAGCCGCACCTAACCTGGACCACGTGTTGAACGATCGACAAGCATAAAGCTATGCTAATATTTGCTAGAGCTAGAGGGACAAGCGAGTGTGATTAAGGCTGGCTAACATTAGCTTAGCGTTAGGTTTATTTGAGCCTGGCATACTATGAACACCTTCATTTGCGTTACGGTCAAAGCGGTTTCATGCTACCCAAAGCTACCAATGCTCCTTTCTGTTTATACCCTGTTCCCCAGATTAGTTTGTCTATGTAGTTTATATGAAGAAACTCCAGACGAACAAAGGACATCTTGGGTTGAAAAGTAATAAACTAATAAAGAAAAAGCGTGAACATCCCAGCTGTGGATCTGCCCAGACCAAAGTACTCAACTGTCTATGTCTAAGCGACCATCTCCATGTATATATATATATATATATATATATACATACACACATACAGGTATGTACACAGATCAAAAAAAGGTATGGTAGGCATTGTCCACGCCCCTCGACACGTGACGTCTCCTGGTGCGTTCCATGTACCATGTTATTTTGAGTCGATTACTAAATATGGTGGTGCAACGTGGTAGTACACTGGATGGTGCGTTCACTGTAACTTCGGATTTTAAAGTGTCCGCTAATGGACGTGGCAGTGCCATCAAATATTACACATAATGCATTTATTAATAATAAGATTTGTGAGCCAGGTTGTCAGTTCATTTACAATATTCTACATTGTTCAATTGAATTTCCAAAGAAGTCTTAACTTAATACACAAACTTCCGGCCAGGTCTGCTCATTCAGTACATTATTTAGTAGTGCGGTGGTAATTCATCCTTAACGCTGAGTACTTTAAAAGTGTAACGCTGTGAAATAAGTAGGTGAAGGTTCACAGAATGGAACAATGTGATCTCATCACATCAAAAACAGCTTCTAGACCAAACCCCCAGCAACAACACTGGGCGGTGCAGGTCACATGATACCACATGCACACATTACAAAGTAAACGACTTTGAAACTGGAACACGTCTCACACACACACACACACACACACACACACACACACACATTAGTGTTATTGGTGCGATAGAGGGAGCCGTGGAAGGACCGATGATGAAAGCTGTGTCGAAACACAACTTTCTCAGAATAAATGAGGTTCCATGGTGCACCAATCTCTCAATCTTCACATGTAAGCGTGGGAAAATAACACAATTGCATGTCTATAATACCTCCTGATGAAACAGCCGTTTGGTTTGCAACGGTAGTAAATTCTACTGTTGCAAACCTTAAAGATATAATATGTATTCCTAATGTGAATGAAACACTAGCTTGAGCCAGGAAGGGGGGGTCTGACCTATGAAAGAGATCCGGCTGCACACTGGGTGGGGGACCAAGCCACCAACACCACCAACCGAGGACCAAATGTCTGGGACACAACAAAATAAGATACAAACGAGGAAAAGCCTCAAGACAGCAGGTCCACTGCAGATACAAACATTGAGTGGGGTTCTTTTTGGATCTGTGCACAAACACAGCGAGCACCTCATGTTATTGCAACTTTGTACGCGGTTGTATACTTATGTCTTTCTACTTGGTCTTTTGTATATCTATATCTATATATCTATATAGATATATAGATATAGATAAAATATATATATATCTATATAGATAGATATGGTTTGCTGATTCCTGCATTCACTTTATTGTTTTGGGAGGCAAACTTATGATTCACATTGTTAACACCCAAATCCTGCCCCTCTCTGCAGAGTGGACAGATTTCCCATGGCGGGCCCAGATTAGTTTCGAGGAAGATACACCTTATCTTGCCAACTGTTATTGTGCTTGAGGAGTGCATATTCCGAGTGTAAAGATATTAGGAGTACCCAAACTATGGCTGAATAAACCTGCAAACCTGTGACAACGTTTGGTACACATAATAATGTTATAACATCTCCGGTTCGTTGTGGTTCGGTGTGTTGTGAGAGCGACGTACTTCTTGTATGTCGCTTGTATGTGTGATAAAAACGGCTCTCGGGTCTGTTTACTACCGACGTTCTGCTCCCAGAGTCTGCTTCGCTTCCTGTGCGCGCATCTGCTGAGCACGCGCTACATGCTCGCGGCCACGCGGTGTCCACGCGTCGGCTCCGGGCGCTCATTGGCTGAAGCCGACACAAACAAAGCGTTTCCGCCAATCAGAGCCGTGTGCACGCGCTGAGCCACGCCGTTCATACTGGCCGCTCGTGTCTCGAGCGAGACGCGTCCCTTAAAAGCAGCGGCCGCTCTTTGTTTACAGCAGAGTGGACGGACCGCGCACGCACCGCGTCGGATATCTCGCAGCAGCAGTCATGGTGGCAATGGCGAAGAGAATGAAATGCTTTCAAATCGTCTTTTCGGACCCGAGCAAGACGTTCTACTGCGGCGGGGACAAGGTGTCCGGCCGGGTGGAGGTGGAGGTGAACGAGGTGACGCGGGTGTCGGCGCTGAGGATCCTGGGTGTGGGCTGCGCGAAGGTGGAGTACGCTAAAGGGAAGCAGCGGTGTCGCCAGGAGGCCGAGTACCTCCGGTACGAAGAGGTGCTGCTGCTGGACGACCACCCCGCGGGTACGGCCATTTATCAGGGTCATTTGCTTCAGATGGGACCCCCCCTGTCTAGAAGCAGTTCCCTGTTGTTTTGAAGTCGAGCAGCTGCTGGTGTCGCGCAGCCACAGTCAAGACAACCTTTGTAATCATGTGCTATTTACGCTCTGCAGACGCCGACGGATCAGTCGTGTTGAGGCCCGGCAACAGATACGAGTACCGCTTTGGATTTGAGCTCCCCCAGCAAGGGTGAGCTGCTGTTTCTATTCCCACCAGCTGCCCAACGTGGCGGCGTGTCGCTGCACTGTACGGAATGCGTCGGCTTACATTTGCTTCCCACATGCTCTCGCAGGCAGCTGGTGTCGTCATACAAGGGGAAGTTTGGCTTTGTCCAGTACGACGTGAAGGCCCTGATGGAGAGACCCCACCAGCCCACCATCCAGTGTAAGAAAGCCTTTGAGGTGGAGGAGCCCCTGGATGTCAACACCCCAGACCTTCTGGTGAGTTCACTGCTCACTTATCATTACAATGAATTCAACAGTCCACTTGAGGTGAGTCTTACCGGTACGTGTCTCCTCAGTCTCCGACAGGTGGCATGAAGGAGAAGAAAGTCACCTGTATGTTCATCCCTGATGGCCAGGTGTCACTAAATGCCAAAATAGACCGGCGTGGCTTTTGTGAGGGCGAAGACATCTGCATCAACGCCAAGTTTGAGAACACCTGCTCCCGCATCGTGGTGCCAAAGGCCGCCATCATTGCCAAACACACCTACCAGGCCAATGGCCGCACCAAGGTTTTCCGTCAGAAGCTGTCCTCGGTGCGCGGCAACCACATCATCTCCGGCATGTGTGACGCCTGGCAGGGAAAGACCATCAGGGTGCCAAAGATTAAGCCGTCTATGCTGGGCTGCAACATCATCCGTGTGGAGTACGCGCTCATGGTAAGCTTTTGGTCTCTGCACCCAGCCAGACAATCAGCTCCGGTTTTCGAGAGCAAAAATCAATGTTTCTGATCCTTTTGCTAGATTTACATTCACATCCCTGGGAGTGAGAAGCTGATCCTGGAGCTGCCTCTAGTCATCGGTACCTCCGGTCTGGGCAGCCGCAGCAACAGTGTGAGCAGCCAGGAGGGGTCGGTCAGCAACGCTTCCCAGAGCTGGGTGTCCCTCCGGCTGCCCTCCGAGCCTCCCAGCTACTCTGACGTCAGCCGCGACTTTCGCCTGGAACAGCCCCTCACGCCGCTCCTGGACGACTTTGACGGTGACGGAAGCCCCATCTTTATGAACGCCCCGTCCTTCCAGTTCCCACCACTTCCGGCGTACACTGAGGTAGGCGTCTCCACGAGAGGACATGGCCCTTCCCGTCACACTAATAGGAAATGTTCTTCACTGTGATTCTCCGATATCTAATCAAGCTTCATCTTTTTCCAGGCGGAGGAAGATTTCCACGGCAACGCACGCATGTTGCCGGTCTGCTGAGGTCCTGCAGGGACTCAAGAACCCTAATCTAGCTCTCAGGGACCGTTGAACTTAAGCACTTGAAAAGGAGCCGGAGGTCCAAACTCTAGAAGAGATGTGTTGGATGGAGAAGTAGAGCCAGGACTGTGGAAAGAGGCTCGTCTGCTCCGCCAAAAGGCTTCATCAGCTACGCTAAATCTTCCGCCTGGTGGCCTTCAGGCCGGGGGCCTGGTGGTCGAACCACATGGGCTGCGTCACGCTACGTTTCTGAGTAAGCTGTCGCTTCTACGGAGTCAAGGCGCTCAGGGTCTCACTCCCCTTCTCAGCCACTTTATGACTTTGCCTTGGGGGGCCGAGCATTGTTTGAGTCAACTCCCAGCCTGCTGCAACGTCTCCTTTCATTGTTAAGCGTGTTCTTTCCTCGTTGACATTCCCGTCAAGCCCTGTGTCTTTAAGGGAGTTCACCCGAGGAATCTACCGCTCTCTTTTCCAGTTCAGGCAGTTTGTGTTGCTGAAAACAATTTGTCAGGAACGTTGTTGCCTTTCAAAATTAAAGCATGTAGAATAATCTTCCTTGGCTGCTAATACAAATTAATGCAGCATTCATACTGTCTTATGTACTTGTGTGTTCATAAATATGTATGTTACTCCTGTTTTTTTTTTGCACTTTTGATTGATGCATTTTGCTCTCCCACTGCCTACCAGACTTCCGTGTGTTATTGTTAGTTTGATCTGAGTGGATTCTCTGGCGGTATATTCCTCCTAACTATTTGGAACCTCAGCCTGATATCCAAATCCCGGCTTGGTTGGCTGTCAAGTGCCAAACATCATCCATACAATGAACACACTCCTACGCACCTTTTATGAGGAGAATCGTTGGATCTTCTGTCAAAGACAGCGTTGACCTCTGAGACCTCCGGTGGGGGGGCCCCAGCTCCTGTTCCTTCAGGGCACAAAGAAAATCACTGTTAAAGACTGATTAGTGAGAAAATATGTTTGCAATGGATTCTTCATACTTATAACGAGTACTTTTTTGTATAAAACCCCATGGGTTCTTTTTTTATTAAAGAAATGTTGAGAAATCTCCAGCGTGTTTGCTCTTTACTGTGTAAATAATCAGTCTGACTGGATTTAACATGTAGCGGCTCCACTGTACCTGACCTCCTAAAAGCCTGAACGGCCCCTGTTTTCACCTCAGCTGCCTCTGTTTAGTCACCTTAAAAAACAAAAACAAAATACTTTTAATGTATTTTATGCTTGTTTTGTTAATTTTCTTATAATTGGCCAAATGCCTTTTTTATGTGTCAAGTAAAAGTAAAGATGTTGCCAGGTTCCAAGACAAAACATCCGCACAGATGCAGCTTTACCATCTTGTATTTTTTATTAGAATAATTGAATATTCCTACTTATATTCCACACACTCAGAATGGATGCATACAGTCAAATAGTTACAGGCACTGTTGTTGTTGTGGGACGCTGCATTTTTCCCTTTCAAATGCTGTTCTCTGGCCTGTGTTGCTGACGTGTGGGAGCGGCTGAGGGCAACAGATAAGGAAGTTGTTCCTCTGTGAGTCACTGGGTGGGGGCTGCTGCTTCGGGCCTGTCGAGGGCCGCTTCACAGAGTGGGCAGGAGGAAAGTCAGTACGGATATTCATGGTCCTCAGAGGCCATGAATACAAAGGATTAGTGCTGTGCAACGATTAACATTTTCATGCAATTAATAGGAGAATTTTCTTTGATTCATTGCATTTATATGCACACATTTCAATAAGGAAAGTTTTGTGTACATTTATTTATGAAAACCCTTCAAACAAATAAGGTGCTTTTTAACAGTATTCCCTCAACACAGTAGTAGTTAAAATATTTTAGTAAATCTTAACTTAAACATTTATGTATTGAAATCGAATACAAAGCCAAAGCTATTTGCCCCTTTCTAGTTTGTTATAGAAAAACAAGTTTCCCTCCACGATCATAACCTCAAAATGGACAAGTTCATATTTATAAATCTGCCTGTCGTGCTTTTGTATTCAAGGAGTGCTTGAACCCTACATGGATAATATGAGCGGACCCCACAGTGATTAATACAGCACACCTGCTGCTAAGCTATCTTAGACCCTCCTCAGAAAGCCCCCCGGTAGAGGCTCTGCTTGTGTTTATAGAAGTTCGGTTTCACTTTCATAACATTGCTCTCCGTTTAGTCCACGCTGACACCCTCAAAGGCGTCGAGAAGGTCCCTTCCAGCAACAAGGCTTTATGATGGAGCGTGAGGATGAGTTGGAGAGTCTCACAGTTCCCTGTTTGTTAGTCCAGTAAGGAGAAGCCAGTGAGGGGTCTCGTCTCTGTTGTTTAACACAATCGGTTGGTTTTAAAGGACCACAACGTGGGACACTTTCAGCACGAGTGTAAAGTTCATATTTCATATATATATACACATAGCAGAATATACATATTTTCTTGTTCCTCCATTCGTATAAGAGCAGGTGTAGACCTTTGGGATAAAGCAACATGTGATTGTGTGCGAGCAGTGTGTGGTAGGGTGGCTTTGGGGGGAGTGTCAGTGACTGACTTGTGCACATGTCCACCCTCTGATTTCCAAGAAAGAATAACAGGGTGGGGAATCTGATCCCCGGTTTTCCCTTTCCAGGGGGAATGCTTTTTTAGTGGAGCAAAACAACTCTGCTCAGCGGATTAATTATAAGAAATACCTTTTTAAACACCTTTTATTGATGGCAGTCAGTGAAGTGTCTGTTTTGCAACATGTCACTTCACTGGTATTTAGCTTCATTATTAAATAGATTGTCATTGAAAAATGAACTACTGAGCATAATCTTTTCCCAGACAGATGATTGAATTTACAGCATGATGCACTCTAACCTGCAGATGATTGACTAACTACAGGGGAGTTAACAACAATAGAAATGTGTTATGTCCACAACAACAGATTATCCAAGTGTGTCATATACTCCTGGAGTATCGTTCCACAGAAGTTCCCTCATCCGATGTTGCAAATTCTGTTGGTGATCAGTGGTGTGTGACGGCCGTCGTGTGTGAGATCACGGAGGCCTTTGACCTGTATAGAAGCATCGCCATGTATTGTTTGTCCCACACTATTGATTATTGTCCTTCGAAGAATCCGTCTAGTTGGATTCCTCATGTCACTGAATAAATGTTTATACTAATAACTATTGGGTGTGGATTGAAACATTGATATTTCTATATTTCTTTCCTTTGCGTCATAGAGCTCCATTTTAGTCCAAAGCCCCCAAAAGATGTCACCCTGTTTGTCCTCGTCAGCAGTGTGGTTTCTCTCCCTCAAATGATGTTTAAATGAAAATATCTCATTTCCGGTTGGTGACACCAGTTTAGACCAGCGTCTAGATGCAGCCAATCACGGGTCAGCTGACGTCCGCTGACCCGTGATTGGCTCTGACAGTGTGAATGAGGTCAGATGAGACGAGATGTGGCGCTCATTGCCTCATGCACTGTCCTGCTGCCCCAACGGCGCTCAAGAGAATTGTTACCAAAGAAAGGGATGAAAGTGATCCAGTGACGGGCGGTTTCCGGTCTTTGCGCTCTGTGTGAAGGCCAGATACAGGTGCTCAGAAGTCGCAGCGCTGAAGATGAGTAGCGTGGTGATGGAGTACAGATGCTTTGTTTTGTTCCTTTACTTGACATTTACTGGATAGTTGTGGATATTGATATACATCCTCGGGGTGTAAAGTTGACATCTAGGCCACAGGTTGGTGCGTAATATGTTGTCATCATACACCTTGTGCTGTCTTTGTTTTGTGATTTCTACATTATGAAACAACATGTTATGTTTAAGGTGTGCGTTGCTTTATCCCAAAGGTCTAAGGTTGTACGAATGGATATGAATGTATGAAAGAAAGTTTAAGCTCAGAAAACACTGGTCCATCCAATGCAGCCAGTTTAATGTCCACATGTGTGGATCCAGTCCGGTGATCTCGTGAGGAGCAACACATTCATCAGCTCCTGCTTTTAGCTACGATACATTATTATTAATTACACTGCTTAGTATCATGTACAATGTAATTGAATGTTTGCAACTTCTTTTCCTGCCGTTATCTCGAGAACATTAACAGAGTTAATGATCTCATTATCTTGAAAAACAAGATTTGTTATTTTGGAGTAATAAGTCAATTGAGACATTATTAATATTTATTAATTGATAACAAAATAGATTTAGCTGCTGTTTCTGGTTGGACAAAATGGTCCAGGGATCATCTCCCTCTCGAGGTCCAAGTTGCATGACCAGCTGAAAATCTGGCTGATGAAAGCGTGTGGGGCAGCATTGAGAGCGTGGTCGGGGCTGTTTGATGCTACGCTCGGTCCTTCATTGTGCCTTTGTGTATTCCTTCCTGTCGTGTCTTTCCCAGTAACCGCTGACACAGTGAAAAGTTAACAAACCTCTTCAGAAAGGCCGACCTCATTGAATCAAACCCCCAGCGCTCGGACCTACTTCCTCAGACCTGTGAGCTGGGAGCTGAGTGAAGTAGAGTTGCTTAAAAGAAAAGACCACCACCATTTGTGCACAAGCTCGTTTTTACATATCAACAAGGAGTTGGAAGCCAACGCGTTCTTCAATAAGCACAATTATCGTAACGTTGACCTTCTTGTTGAAGATGTGAAAGAAGGCGGATGTGTTCAAGTTCTGGGAAACACTGGGAAACTTTGAAAACCACAAGACCGAAAATGAAAGCAGTTTCCACATAACATGTTACAACATGAAAGGCATTCAATTCAATTTATTTTGTATAGCTCAAAATCACAAATTACAAATTTACCTCAAGCGCTTTACATACACACTGTGTCGTATGTGTAAGGTTCACACCTAGTGTCATTATTAGTCACATTACTATTCACTCCATTACTGCTTCTGTTATCATTGTTATTCTAATATACCTACAGAATTCCTTTTTTAATAATTACTACTCTATTAATTGACCTAATTCACCTTCACACAGAGCTTCTCCGCCTCCACCTTCACACACACCAGCACAGCAAACAGAGTGTTGTTTGTGGGGAGATGTGGGTGAGTCATGCAGTGGAATATAGATCTGTGTGTGTGTGTGAGGAAACAGGAACAGGCTGACGGAGCGTGGAATGTCCGACTCCACCTTCAGCAAACAAGTCTCACCAGGCCAGCAGGACCAGGGCCTGAAGTCTTTTTCAATTATAGTTTATGGAGCCCCAGTGTTATACTAACAGAATGGTTTATATTGCAGTTTACAGTCCTTGTCACTCTTTAAAGCTCCCGCTCATTATTACGTACATCAAAGAGCAAAACACAGAGTTCAAGCTCTGATATGGAAGTGATCGTATTGTTCTCAAGAACATCCCTGAACAACATGGCTTCACTTTCACTTTGCTCACCAGCAACCAGTAAACACTGCGGCACGGTGACCTGCTAACTGCAAATTACTGTACATCACGCTGTAGCCGGCTCTCCGTTCATCCACCATACTTGTTTATCCAGGAGCAGCAGGCTGAACAGAGTCCTAATGTCCTGCAAAACTATCACATTTAAATGACCATAATAAGCGTCCGATGGAGAGCTCCACCCTGATGGGGCTCTGCAGTGACACTGCTCATGTGGAATCTGGTATCTTTAAGGGCAGCTTCAGGAAATACAAATGTAACCCATACAGTAGTCACAAACAGGATATTAGCTATAGAGACAGGAAGCGTTTATTCTGCTCTAAATCTGGGGTTCTTAAGATGCCGGTCTATGGAGATCGTCCATGGAGACTTGCTTTTGAGGCCTGCTTCAAGTGGTAATTTGAGGAAGTGCAGTGTTTTGCACTTTCACTTTTTCATCTGCTTGCATCTGCCACTGTTAACATGGATGAGTACGCGTGCTCAGAATCATGGGAAGCCAACCGTTGACCCATGACTACGTACATGTTGGGATGAAGACTGAAACGTGGTCAATAGCAGATCAGGAGGTGAGTTCATCAAGAATCCCTCTGAGGCTTAATTACATTACATGACATGTCATTTAGCAGGTATGCCGTGAAAGAACCCTCATTAGATTATATATGACAGGTTTTACTCATTCTGCAACTAATCAAACCCATACGTGTGCTCCTCGCCCAAAGACAACTGGAGTGTGGATTTCTTTTCAACATTGAATCCTGAATTCCCTCCACGTGATTGTGGTGAATTAAGTTGGTCTCTCTGACAGACAGACGTAATGACTTTTGCATCTCTCATCTCAGCTTAACTCTTCTTGGTGGGAGAAAGAAAATCGATAAACTTATGGTTCATGTGTTGACTTACTTTCTATTCTATCATTGACTTTACGTGTTTCCAATAAACAGTATCATTAATATTGTACAGTTACACTGATAAGTATGTGAACAGTCAATATGTTGTGAATCAGAAGCCAAGCATAATCTATTTGCACTCTTGCTCTGCTGATTCATCGTGAGGATCGGTGAGCGTCGGGGGGCCGACTCCCTCAAAAGCATTTGGGAGGAAACGGGATGAGACGGGTCGGCAGCAGCCTCGGCTACATGTTGATGTTGTGTCCATTTGGTGATCCTTGAAAAGTGGAAGGTCACACTGGAGTTGTATCACACAGAGTTATATCTCGTGTGTTTGCTTTTCTCCAGAGGAGTCCCCTATTGTCTGTGGTGACAAAATACCATTTTATTATTGTTGTTCAGCAAGCGCCTCTCTTAATGTCGCACGTCTTCCAGCTGCTGTGTGTGGCTGTCCTTGAGACATGCAGGTAAACACTCAAAGTACTCCACGTCCTGCACGTGTTCAACAACACAGTGCAGCCCGCCCACATTGTTCTGTGGTAGCAGCGTCCTCCTCTGACACGCTGTTTACAGCCTGTGTGTTGTGCAATGCGTTCTCCTGCACACACAGACAGGAGGCGGGGCAGCGCTTAGAAGATCCTTAACGTGTTCAACTGGAAAGACAAAGAACATCAAGTACGATTCTGTCAAAGTATAAGGCAAGAAGTGAGGTGGGGGGTGCGGTGTGAATCCTAAAATGTTTCTTGATCAGTGACACCAGACTTTGTATCAGTGTCCAGCGTGTTTTAGTCCTGCTGCCGCCCATTACACCTTTATTGCAACTCAGCACATCCTTTAACAGTACTTGTATAGCGCTTTTCTAGTCTTTCAACCACTTGAAGCGATTTAATGTCATCATTCATCCATTCATCCATTCACTCACTGATAACGGGAGCTACCTCACAGGGAGCCACCTGTCCATCAGTAACCAACGTTCACATTATTCACACACTGTCGTCACAGCCACAGGAGCAGGAGGTTAAGTGTCTTGTTCAAGGACACGAGGACACGTGGGTTAACAGGACCTGGGATCCAACTGCCTGATTGGAGGATGACCGTGCTCTCCACTCACCCACAGCTGCCCTTAAAGATCAATTATTAACTACATTTATGCTTCTCAGAAGAATAACATTTAGTAGCAAGGTTGCCACACAAATCTGTGATGGAAAGATGAACCAATTTGCTTCATTTCATTTAATTTGGTATAAACCAAAACCACAAATTTGCCTCTGAGGGTTTTACAGTCTGTACGCACGCAACATCCTCGGTCCCAGAGCCCTCACATCGGCACAGGAGACGAGATCCCTGCAACCACTATCACATATAACCACTATCAGACAGCCATACAAACCCAAGACCTTCCTGCTGTGAGGTGTTAACCGTCACACCACCATGCACCATGGTTGGTGTGTCCTCTGTGTTGGCCCGTTGGCACATTGACTGGCGACCAATGTTGGCTCGATGGACTCCAGCCCCACCGCGACCCCGTGTGAAGGATAAGCGACTTTGAAGACGACTGACAGACAGAACCACCACCAGACAGACACCATCAGACGTGGCGTCTGCCGTTTTTTATGGAGTGGTCTGCTGGGCAGCAGCATATCGGCGACAGACAGAAGAGACTCAACAAGCTCATCAAGAAGTCCAGCAGGATGCTTGGGTCCTGGAGGCTCTGCACAGCTCCCTCAGCCAGCGGCTGATTCACCCTCCCGGTCTGAGAAGAACCGCAGGTCCCTCCTTCCTGCTGCTGTCAGCACCCAGTGAACCTCAGAACATCAAACCACTGAAAACATCACCAAACAACACTGACATATGTGCAATAAAAATGACAATGTGCAAAACCACGGTGATACACTGTGGGTACACATACGTATATTTATTTAGTTCCTGGTATATTTAGTCACAGCAGGGTTGTCGGGTCGAACCCCGGCTGCTTCTGTGTCAATGTGTCTCTGAGTAAGACACCCAACCCGCTGGCTGCAGCACGCCGCTCCACTGGGTCAAATGCAGAGGACAGTGCATTTCGTTGTCTTACTACCTGTACCTGTGCAATAACAAACAAGTAGAATCTTCTTCTTCTATCTTCTTCAGATGCAACCCATCCACAGAAACTTGGGGAGGAAAAGACTTCAGGAAAGATGCAAAGTCGGTAATGTTGGCTTATGATGACAGCCATAGTAATGTGATTAATATTAATGATAATATCTATAGCAGCAACAGTTGTCAGCAGGGCCACGGCAGGAGGCGAGAACAGGGCCCGGATAGAACCATGATCAGTGGAAACCTGTGAGGTGAGAAAGCACAAAGACTGCAGGGAATAAGCTCCATTCATGGTTGATGTGGTATTACAAGCTCCTTGAACCATCCCTGGAGACTCAGAGGAGTGTGAATAGCTTGCCATTGTTGCATATAAGCTAACCCCGATTGCAGGACATTGGCTTTTGCTGACTTTTCCTGCAGGAAGTGAGTTGTCCCCTCTTTTGCAGCCCGTATATCATTGTTGTCTGTATGTGTGGGAGCAACGGAGGGTTGCTGAGGCATTTACAAAACTCAGATTGCAGCACATTAGTCAAGCATTTGTTTCTTTAAGTCACCGCAGGTTGTATTTATGTTTCAGCCTTGTGAGACTTTTCCTTTTTTATCGTCTTCACGATGTTGAACATCGGAAGGAATATCTAATTGAAATCATGTCTTCCCTAGCATGACCTAGCATGTAGCATACATTTTCACTACTTTGACAGGGCGCCTTTACAGCGGCACACTGCTGCTACTTAGAGGGACCTTATCCATACACCTATTGAACCGTGAACCTATTCTTCCATTCATGTCTGTGGGGTGGGGGTTCAAGAATTCTGCCCTTGGTCTGTATTCAAGTAAAAAGCAAGTTGGTCTTTGTTTCTGCTGTCGGTGTCTCGTGTTATATTCCCTCACTCCTAATCTATCCTCAGACTGCTGGATTGACTGTAACCGCGGGTAACCGTGACATCTAGTGGCTCAAGTAGGAGGCAAACACCTGGATGAGAAGCGCTTCCATCCCCACGGCTACAAGGTAGAGTGACCGTGCAAACACTGTGATGCTGTTCTTTTAGGGTAACATGTACGAAAGCCCATTTCTCCCAGTAGACAAAAAAATGGGGGGGCAAACCCCCAAGTCCTGTACATGGTGCACATGCAGGCTGTCATGTTAAAGCCATTAGCATGTTTGGCTGTGAACCCCCTTGATTTTGCACGGCCCCCCAGGCACCGTGACATCATGTTAAAGGGGCACAATTCAACAGTCAGCACAAAATCATTACGGCTCGAATGCTGAGAGCTGAGCCTCTATTTGGACGCCTTTCAACTTCCATTATCATCTATGAAAGTTGAAGCAAGAGACATTATGGAAGAAAAACTTGATTCATGTGTTCTGGTTACAAAAAGGTTAATGAAGTCAAACTTGAAAGTAAATTGTTTGAACCTTTATTAAACATAGCTTGCAGATAAATATTACAAAGTTATTTCCTCCAAAATTAGCTTTTTTTTCTTATTTTTTTTTTCAATCAATGCATAATTGTCAACTGGCAGTATTCAAAGAGCATCGTTTTCTTTTCTTTTTTTTGAAGACCGTTAAATATCAAGTATGTGCAAAAGGTCAGGATTGATGTAAGGAAAACAAAAATGACTTCAGATGGTTAGTGGTCAATTTCCTCCTCGGTTTCTGCTCCCCCAGATGTTTATTTCAGCATCGTCACATTATACAAAACGTCAACCGAAATGTGATAAGAACTGATTTGAAATGAAAGGTTTCCCTGCATTAGCGAGGGATGCATTCAAACAGCAGAGGACCACACACGTCGTACGCTGGTGTCGGCAGGAAAAGTGATCACTGATTCAGGGTCGGCTCTTCTCAGGTCAATTCAACAAAAACGTTGTAGAAAAGGTCAGACCACTGATGTAACAGCTTGTATCTAAGTCTAGTGGAAAACTTTGTATGACATTCCCAAAGTGTTGTACAGGCATGGTGGTGTGTGGGTCCCAACAGGCGAGGAGTGATTAAGCTTAAGACCTTTCACCATTCTTCAATAACCACTGATCTCTTCACTTATGCATTGGTTATGATTTAATTGGATTAGTTCATTTTAAAACATGTCCGTATGGTCCATGTAGCTTTGATTGGATTTGTTCAGGTTCTCTTTTATTCCTGCTGCTAATGGCAATGAAAAATGACCATCGGGACATCACTGAACAGCTGGACACGTCTCTATGAGAAGTCACCACGAGCCAAAGGTCATTTATGTTGTCAAAATGCCTCAGTCCAACCATAGAGAGCCAATGGCTGCCTGACGAACTATAAGAGGAATCCAAAGGATGTGGATTACCTGAAGAGAGAAAAGTGGTACATCAGTCGGACCCCGGATCCAACCTCTACTTCACCAGGGTCCCTGTGATCCAACACACGCAGTGAAACATCCAACGTTCTGCTATCCAGAACCTTTGAGAGAAACTGATTTCAAGAGTCAATGCTCCGAGAGACAGACCAGCAACGCGAACTCCACCTTCTGAACCAATGAGCACCTTCCTGCAAACGCTCAGCGGGTCCCCGCGTCCAGGGAGGCCGATTCAAGAAAAAAAAAAGAATCCCAAACATTTTGCACATCGTTACACAATAATACACAGTGATCACAAAACGAAATGACAAGCTTCACAATATTCATGGCTTTTTGTTTGCTTTTCTACACAATATACAACCATTTAATTTCTTTTTTTCAGTACAAGGGAGGAGAAAATGCTTATGTACAATAAGTCATTATTACTTCAAACCTAGCAAATATCGTGTAGTTTATTTCATAGTCAGTACATTTGTTTACTTTTTTAAACTGCAATAGAAAGAAAACAGAACTCAATTGAGACATCAGAAAAAGAATGACTTCAAATTTAAATTTTTAGTTTTCAAGAAAGAGTCCAAATACAAAGTGATGGATGCATCTGCAGAAGAGCAAAATACAGGGTTTCCCCCTTAGACTTCAGCCTGGCAGCAAAAGGAGAGGCATGACAAAAACATCGCTAAAATCATATCGGGAGTGGCAGTAAAAATTCATCCCAGACAATAAAAACTCATGAAAATATATCTGTACATCCAATTTCAACTGTTCCAAAGGGAATATTGATTCAGGTCTTTTATATAATGGAGAAAAATGAGGTTTTCCCAAGAGTAAACGTTCCGTCTCCTACTCTAATCCTAGGTAGTTTCATAGTCTTCACTTCCACTGGGCTGACAGGCGGGTTGGAGAGAACACCACCAACCGCTGGTCTCACACGGACGGTGCAGGAGTAACAATGCAGGGGCGGAGGGACAGGGACTCAGGTGCAGTGCAATACGAGACTCCTCCAAGGACTGACGGTGTTATTAAATGGTGTCAACAGAAGAAGACATCTAGAAGGTACTGGTCCTAAACGGTCCGACTATGTTTGAGTTCATGAGAGAGCTGAAGTTCCTCCTCTGCTCCACTCTGATTGAAGACACTGGGGTTTCCCATAAAGGATTTCCTCAAAGCGCTGCCTTCACTGTTTAGAATGTTAGCATGCTAACATCTGCTAATGGGCACCAAACAACAGCAGAAGCCGGCGGCCATGTCACTTGATCAGCAGGTATTTAGTCGTAAACAGAGTATGCACATTGTTGTAGTGTGGATTCAAAGTTAACGAATGCGACTGTAGTCTAACCCAATTAAAGACATTGGCCGGATGCAACCCAGCTGGCAGACGTGCACTGTGACCCTCTGCTAGTGTCTGCTGTCAATGAAGAACCTGAGCTGCAGTTTACGTGCACCTGCCTGGAAGAGGTCTGACACGGACTGCTTCATCCAAATCACACACGGGAGTTCAAAGGTTAAGACAGACTTCTTTGTAAGCTTCAGAATGTAATGCGAGACCCATCGCAGCCACGGTGTCCTTCTGTCTCCATGAGGACAGGTATGAGAGTCAACATATAGTTTGAGGAAATGCTGCTCTCCTTGACGACAGCGTGTCACATCACAGAAAGCTCCGGGGAACGTTTCTGCCTCCGAATGATCATATTTACAGAACAAATTTAATGGATAAAATGTGGTAATGAAAAATCAAATGTAGCTGTGAAGAGCGTCCACGCTCTGGCTGCATGCAACTCTCCAATATGTGAGACTGAAATGAATAATTAGGTCACCTACAAAGAGGACGGGGCCGGCTTGTGTTGCTGCAGTTGCCCCTGATTGAATGCACGCCACTGAAAAGGAGAATTATTTTACTAAAATTGGGACGATGGGACCCCGTGTTTATATACAGCCATGGGGGCGAACGCCAGCACAGCAGGCGCTGGGCATTTGGAAACTGACATCTGAGGTGCAAAGAAACCCTTTGTCATTACTTACTTACTTAAAATACACCTTGATGCAATCCACATTACTCAGCACGCCCCCGCCCACACCTCCGCACGTCCGAGTCTCCGGTCGGCCCTCAGCCGCCATCCAGACCGTAGCCACTCTCATTTGTAACATTCATTCTTTTCCTTGTTTAAAAAAAAACCTTTTCCCAATTGGAAATATGCAAAGTGCTCCTCTGTGAGGCAACGCGTGTGCAGAGCATGCACACAATGATTGATCCATGTCTCTCCCATAAAACATATAATCCACATCCTTTTCTTTGCTCTTCGATGCTAGGTTTCTATACATATTCCATACAGATATTTCAACAGTTTCTGTTTTTAGCCATGATGATTATTATCGTCTCCGGGCTAAAACCTCTCAGGTTTGCCACCATTTCAATAGGAGACGCCGAAAAACAAACAAACAAAGAAACTAACAGAGAAACTACCCATATAAAAAAGAAGGAAAGGTTGGGCGCGGGGGGGGGGCAACAATCAGAAGAAAATTAAAATCCCAAATATAACAAGAAAAGGAACGCAGCCTTCTTGGTTTTTGGGGTACACATCTGTGGTTCTGCAGTTCTACCTCCAGATTTGAGTTCTTTTCACTTTCTAAAAGAATGCGTGACACCAAGAGGAGCTGCTGGGTAAAAGGGTTCTGTCTGTGCATACTGGATCACCAAAGGGGTTTCGGAGCAGGTCGTGAGATGCGAGGTCTGAAGATCCGTCCCCCCCTCGGGAATACTGGGTGGGTGTGGAGACGTCTTTCTGCCGGTCGGCTCCCTCCTTGCTGCTGTGCCCATCCACAGCTGGCCGACACGTCCTGATGAGTGTAACTACAGTGTGTAGTTGGAGTTACATCCAGCTGGTACCTGTTCAGGTCTCCAGCGAGGGAGGTGGAGATCTGAAATGAAGAAGGGCCGAGGACCTTTTGATGGGGCAGCCGTGTCTCCTCAACAGTGGTGATGCTGCTCTGTCTTGCAGGCCGAGCGCGTTGGAGCTGTGCGTCGGTGTCTTGGACGAGATGATACGGGTGGGGATGCTCTGCTCTCAATTGATCCCAATTTCCACATTGTTAGTTAGCAAGCGAACACTTTTTACAAAGCTTCAAAGTTGTTTAACTTTATGTTGCATAGCAACCAGAACGCCCTGTTGATCTTCTGTTACTAGCAATAGTCACATCCAAGCTTTATAATCGAGCGCAGAAAAAGGCCCTACATGATGTTGGCCTGAAGCGGCCCTACAGTGACTCAGACGCACGGCCCAAAGTTAAGGAAACACCGCAGCGAAAAGAACGTTGAAAACAAAAAGCATAATGAGTAATCATAACTGAAGCAAAATGGTAGTTGCAGGTATAATAATAGTGCTACCAACAGCAATAATAATGGGAATTATAATTGTTAAACAACGTTGACGAAGAAGATTTGTACTATAATAAGAACATTTGAGATGACAGTTTAGTGTCTTTGTCCGACTCGGTGGGTTGTCATGGGTTGGTTTAAGGTAGGCACACGGACAGGCACTGCATGCGATGGGGTTGGTGGGAACGGGGGGAGAGGAGGGGGAGATGTTGGTTCGATCTGGGAGTGCTTCAGTACGGGGTAGGAGGGCATAATTGGGGGCTTCGGTGGGGCAGGTGGGCTGGGCGGAGCTCATTTCTGTCCGGTGATGGACTGCGATATGGACCGAGGAGGGATCATGTCCAACAGGTACTCTCTCTGCCGGTCTGCTAAGCTGGAGCTCTTATGGGCTCCGACCGCCGCTGGGTTCAGATAGGCAATATTTAACCCTGCGGGAAAGAGAACAGCAGCTTACTTCATCGGCAGGCTGTGGACCAGATGTTTGCACCTGCAGAAAGCCATTTCTCTACTTACTATTAGAGATAAGTATACAACCCCTGGGTGCTCTTTTTTACCCCCCCCCCCCCCCCCCAGAGTTTATGGACACTATTAATATATGTGGTCTAAGGGCATCACTCAACATGCCATGGAGCGGAATTAGCTGGAGCCATAACACCAACGTCCGCCTTGTAAAGCCAGCAGAGCACTATAGTCAGAAGGAATCATCCAGGCTGTTAGCAGAGCTAAAAGTGAAGGCAGTCCAGCTTTTGCCTTTTTGACAACGAATGTCTGGAATGATCCAGTTTGTAAATCCATAAAAACATGTCATGTCAAGTAAAAACACAACCCTGCGCTCACTGTACAGCATTTCATTTGCAAAGAAAACATTGTGTGGATAAGTCAAAAGGTTGGCTGTGACTCTCAGAGAGCAACATATAAAACACTGATCCAATATCAGCTGCCACTGACCCTGGGAGTCACTGGGTGACAGAATGAAACCTGAGTGGTGTCTGGTTAAAGAATCTCTCCGTGCAACCGTCTGCCTCTTCGGCCAAGGCTTGAATGTAAGCGAACGCCCCTCGAACAGAGCTCAATAATATACGCTTCATTCGGGACTCACATTCTAGTTCCAGTACAGCTGTTATTTCAATGTGTCAGAGGCCTACTTCATTAACCTGAAGTAGAAGAACAAGACTTTTCGGGGTCACACACAAACCTGGGATGTTGTAGATCTGGCGGCGGCTGTCGTGCTGCAGTCTATTGCTGCCGCTGCCGCCTCCTCCGCTGCCACAGTGCTTGCCACTGGTCATCCCCATGAGGCTGCTGGCCACTGACAGCTGGGAGGCCTGGGCGAAGTTGGACAAGACGCCTCGCGCCGAGTTGGACAGGCCGCGCTGCATGGAGGCCTGAGGCTGGGGAGCCTGAGGACGGTACAGACACGCCATCAGATTCAGTCACTTATCAAGATCAAATCCCAGACATTGGCTTGTGAAAGGCTCATTGCATGGTGGGGTCTCGTCTCAAAAAAGAATATGAGGCACACCGTTGTTCCAAACACCAATATTCTACGTGACAAAGTGACCAATGTACTTGACCCTGTGTCGGCCATTTAAATACACTTTGTCGTGTTGAATAAAAGGTATTTGACCTTTACACAAAGCGCAGAGATTATTTTGAGCCCCGTGCAACGAGCCCTTGAGTGTATACCTGCACCGAATGGGACCAAGGACCTCACCGAGATCCTCCTGTTGCAGCTTAAAACGTGCTCTCAGAAAATCATACAATGAAAGGTGAGGTTCTGGTGACTTAACGGTACCTCTACTTAACCCGTCCCCTCCTGGCCTGTTTTTTGGCCTCTGCTCCAAATATGTCATACAAAGGATAAAAAATGTGAGAAAAAAGAGCGCCAGCTTCCTTCCCAAGAAGCCGTATGAGTCATGCAGGCCGTATTGCAGAAAGAGTGGATTCAATTCACCATTTTCTTCAAAAGAATAAAGGTAGGATGTGTTTTTTGAACTCTCAATTCGGCATGGTTTGTCTGAGAGAAATCAATCTCAGCAAGCTATTCGCCTTGTGGTTTTCCATGTTAACATTTAGCTTTGAAGGATTGTTGAACTTTTGCACCGCTGAGTGCACAATTTTGAGACTGATTTGCATAGGATATTTTATTACTAATCCTCAAACAGATCAATGGGCACTGTAGCCAAGAAAGGTGTGAAGCAGCTATATATTTGTTGGTGAGTACACCATATTCCTGTTGGAAGTTGGATTTGGCTCCAGTGAGGACCCTATTGGGGGGGCGAGCTCGGGATGAACAGGAGTACAGGACACATTCATGAGCTGAATCATTTCAAAGCTACAGACAGATAAACATACTAATACACAAAAGTGAAGTGTACCTGGCGGAGCGCATGGTGCCGGATCATGGAGTCGGTCTTGGAGGCGTTGGGGCCTGTAGGGGCCGAGCTGGGAGAGAGGGCCGCCTGCTGCTGCAGCCTCTGTTCAATCTCCTGACATGGGGTGCAGTGAGGAAAGCACATTCAGAACACACCAGTGTGGTCAACGGATATTCTATATTCCAATAGTTGTTAAAAACTATTCGAATGTGAAAATTAGTATTCAAATTTCAATCACTGAATAAAGCCTGCTATATTTGGGACAAGAATCGGGACGTTAAATTGCTTTCACAAATCAGCGCTCAGCATTTGTTTATTGTTGTTGTTCATTTAAACCGCGTTGCGCAGAGAGCGAGACGGTGCGAGAGAGAGAGCGTGTGTGCGGTCTTGTTAAATATGTTTAAACTTAAATAAATGACCTATACAAGTAGTTATGTCTCGTATTAATCTTTCCTGTTATTGACGTGTCTAATGCGCAACCAGATATTTGAATATCTCTGTTTTTTTAAAGCGAATATTCGAATGTCATTTTTGACAGCCCACGAACGAACGAACGCACACAGAGAGAGAGAATAATATCGTGGCTTTTTGGAGGACATCCATTCTGATCTGAAAAACTGACTGCAGGACATTTCAGTTAAATTCATTTTTCTTACTACTAGTACTTTATTTTAAGAAAACATTTCGCAAAAGCTCCTGCAATTCAACCATCTCAACATGTAATGGAGGAACACGGCTACGTCATGCGAGAACAGCGGCGTCCAGGCTTCTGGACGCACACACCTCGGCCACATACAGGGAAATAAGAACCCTTGGTACCAATGCAGGCCTTTGTTCTCCTAGTTTCCTGTGATGAACCAGAGGCTCAAAGCTCTGATGGACGCCGGCGCCGGCTGAGGACGCCGTGGTCGAAGGGGGCTTTCTTCATTCATTCCTCAGAGCAAATGTTCAACACGGTGAAGGAACGCACCCCTTACAAAGGCGCTGGGGTGTGAAATAAGTGTGTGTTGGTGGTGCTGACCTGCTCCTGCTGCAGAGCCTTCACAAAGGCATTCTTCAGCCGGTTGGTGTGCTCCGCCTTCAGAGCCTTCTTCTGATTGGAGGTCATGCACTGTTCGCAGAGGATCCGCCCACTCTTCTCTTGCTTCCAGTGGGGGGTGAAGTCGGTCCTGCACTGGGCGCAGAAGAAGGGCTCCATGCGTCCCAGCGTCCCTCTGAGTTTACCTACACAGGGGGGTCGCTGCTTACTTCAAGGCCTCACAGGTTTAAGACTCTAAAGGAATAATGTGAAATGTGACGTTGCCCGCTTACCCTGACTGTCGAGCACACTTTGCACCACCTCCTCCAGGCCCACCATGTAGATGAACTCGCTGTTGGCGGCGGAGGGCAGGAAGTGGAGCAGTGGGGCAGGGGGTTTGGGTGGAGGGATCTCCAGCAGGGTTTTCTCCAGCTGCTTCCTCAGGGCCAGCTTGGCCGCCGCCTGGCTGCTGGCCTGGTCGGCCATGGAGCTCACCCCCCCGCCGGCTGAGTTGGACATGGTGGACGGGCTGACGGCCGAGGCTCCGCCGAGTCCGCCCACCGCTCCGCCGGCGGCCGCCGCCGCCTGCATGTGAGCCAGGTTCATGTACATGGCGCTGGAGCCCGAGCGCTGGGACGCTGCCACCTGCTGGCTGGCCTGCCGGGAGATACACATTCTCTGTTGTTTAGAAGAGTAAAAGTCGCATTTTTAAAAGGGTTCAATACTGCAGACACCAAGCACAACCTGCCTAACCATGGGAGACTAAAGTAAGGAGAGGGGTTGCTAATGCCTCCCTCACCCAAAAACCTGCTCTACTGTGTGGGTTGAGTTCTCCTAAAGCCTGACCCTTGATCGGTCCCCCTTTGTAGAGCTGGGGGCGTCTCAGGAGGACATTTACTAGATGAAGTTATCCAGATGACGTAGAAAAGACTTGTGTGCACGCTGTGAAAACGTAGCGGTCAGTCAACAGTTGGTCCCCTTCCACACGTGAAAGGGGTACAGGCCCGGTTTGGGTTTGTGCCGTGTCTTTGTATCGGTTTAGGTGGAGTGCATTTTGGACTGGCCCTGAATGTCTTCAGGTATCTTAATAGATAATTATATGACATTATGAACACATTATAGTAAAGACAATAGAAACATATAATGGGAAATGGTGTTAGATAGTCAGAGAGGTCGTCTTACTGCGCTACAGAGCCGGACGTTCTTCATTACGCTGACTCCTTATGGCAGTTGTGCATGAACACTCATCTCACTTACGCACTGTTACTTGTTTTTTTTGTAACATTAAATTCAAATAACAAAAGCAAGAATCCTCGGGGTCTGATGGCGCTGCTCATGTGCAAGGTGAGGGAGCTTCACCTGCTGGTAGCTGACGGGGTTGCCCATGCTGCTGGAGCCGGAGCGGGACATCCCGGGCTTAGAGGAAAGCCTCTGGCCCTGCAGCTGGGAGGGGTTCGGGGCGATCACTCGCTGCGACATCAGCATAGGGGGCAGGTTGGCGTTTGCTGCGGACCTGATGACCGTGTGACCCTGCAGAAAGGAAAAATCAAAAGGGGGACAGGCTCAACAGTCTGCTCCTAATGTATCAAACATGCACTACGGATCTCCTCTGGTTATTATACTGCATGTGTTTAGATATACCGAGCATGTTGGAAGCTAAACATGTTGGATGAAATGCTACAGAACCGACGCTTATATGCCTGTGGGCGGCAACACCAGGTCTTCTCTGGAGCAGGGATCTTCAACGTTTTTCAGGCGAAGGTCCACCAAACTGATTGAGCAGGGACCCCGTCCAAATAAAATGTATTTTTGAGCTTCGCGCTCTTCAGGGTGAGCATAATCTGTGCTATCGTATGCGCATGAAAGGTTCTGTGAGTGAACCGGTGCTTGAGAGAGCTGCTGTGGGAAGCTCAATGTGTGTGTTGCGACTGAGATAACGTCTTCTCCATCAATTTATCCGTTTGCTACAATATGTTGGATTCATGTTAATGTGTATTTAAAGACAATAAATACAATGCTGAAGACATTTAAATTTGTGGAAAAAATAAATAAAATTAAAACAGTTAAAGAAATATTAAAAATCAATCAAAAATTGAACCCCCTGCAGTACTTCTGCAGACCCCCTGGGAGACCTCTACTCTGGAGAATTAGGACATGAAAATGATGGATTATATTATGGTTAGCAGGTCGGGTTCATAAAATTGCATTTGCGCAAGACCGACCTAAACACACCCAGGGTCCAGTTCACTACTCAAACAGTACAGGGCTACTGTCCCACACTAAAAGCTAATGCTGATCTGTAAAGCATTACAATGGTAAATGATAAAGGGAGCGTGCTTACGTAGCGCTTTTCTAGTCTTCCGCCCACTCAAAGCCCCAACGACATGTGCTTGAAATATTTAGTCTATCATCACCGATGGTATGATGGATGGATGGTGGACATAATATCAGAAAGACCTTTCAATTCAACATAGGTAGTAGGAATAACAATATAAGAATGTAAATCATTACTGTAATAAAACATACTTTGTATATTTGCACATAACATTTCTAAAAAACTTAAACTGGTTATAAACTGGTGATATTTATTAGTTTTAAACTATTCATCTGGTCTTTCTATTATTCATGGGGTACTTATGTTGGCATATGTAACCAAATAACAGACGTTATTCACAGAATGGGCAGCAGATGGCAGCAGCGGCTCACTGAGTCAAATCAAACCAGGATATCAGCATCCATTCGAACCAGGCTGAGAGCACAACACACAAATCTGCTGAATATTTAGTAGCATCTCAACATGTAATGGAGCAACGGGGCCACGTCACGCAAGAACAAAGGCTGCCAGCAGGAGGCCGTCTCAGTCAGAGCGGGACCTTCGACCATTCAATGTGGAGACTAAAGGCGATTGCCAAACAGCACCGACATGATCGTTACCCTCACACACGCACGCGCGCACGTACACGCGCACGCACACACGCACGTGTCCCTTCGCCGGTCCGCACCCCCCCAACAGAGCGGTTACCCTATTGATTGTTAAACTGTGGGACGACAATCGCGGAGCAATGGATTAAAATTGGGGGCGCATGGGGAAATTCCTAATTATTTTATTTCAAGAACTATATTGACAACTTATTAGGAAAGTACAAAGTATACGGAGTGCTGTTGCCTTTCAAAATAGAGATAGATAATTAGAGATCCAAGCACTGGGCATGAATTCAGAGGCCCTATCAAGTCTGCAACCCTGTTATGATAAGATTTACTGATGCAAGTAGGAGATGGCTCATAAATATCTACTAATTGCGGAATGCGGCTTTATAAACATCAGTGTACGTCTGTGAATGAGTCAGTGCCACGCAGGCTAGTGACGGCTAGTTAGCTAGCTAAAGACATCTTCTCTGGCTGATGTAGCTACTCGTTTGGTCCCTTTTAACCAAAGCTAGCGCAATGTTAGTTAGCGCTATGCTAGCAACCAGCACAAACACCGTTTCAATGAGGGACAAATAGAAATATTTTTTGAGCCTTCACTCCACTCTGGTCTGCCACATACACACCCATGGAATTCTCAGAAACAGTCTGAAAAACTAAAATTAAACAATCAGTGATATTGTAAAAAGTGATAGATAAAAAAGTTCAGGGTTTTGTCAACATATTAAAGTGTGAATGGTGTCTGTAGCTTAAAGATTGAGGAAGAGGAAGGATTTGAAAGTTGAAGTTTAATAGGATTTGAAAAAAAACCCTACATTTCATGAATATGAAATGAGTGGTAGAAAGCTAAAACATAGCACCCCCCTCCTGAAGGAGCTGAATATTTTAATAGCAGAACGGTTTCCGTAGCTGAAAATATGAATGAGAAGCAGTTCAAAATATGTACGGAAGAAATAGAATAAAGACCCCCTCATTAACAATAGAGCACATCCCCGTCCGGCCCCACTGAACCAGTCGGAGGACAATTGGTGGAGATCCTTTGAATTTGAGGAGGAGGGTGTAGCTGACAACCTGCTTCCAGGAGAGTAAAGGTGGAGCACCGGTTCTCCAGAAGCTCTCCCTCTCACTACAGCCAGAGACTCACATCACGCAGAGAAGGAAACATGTTCCTCCAGTAGATGCTGAGAACTCTGGTTGTCTCACAAGGAACAGAACATAACTCTGCACTAAAGTTCAGTGTGTTAGTGGAGCAGCAGGTAACGTCACTGACTCATGAAACATCCTCCCTGACATCACTGACAAAAGAGTTTAAAGAATGTTCAACTTCTTGTGTTGCTGCTTAAGAAACAATGTTATGATAAACATGTGTATCCTTTTTCTTAAGGAATATTCATTCTTCCTCTCAAAACAACTGAGAGTGGATAAGGACCAGTGTTCTATTAAAGCAGCGGTTCCCAAACTCAAGAATGCCGCGGCCCAATTTGAAATCTGAAAATCTTTTGCGGCCCACCCAAACCTTTTAAATCACAACTCTGATCAAAACATAATGTTTTCATGACCTTAGGATTTAACCGATTAAAAATGTATTAACCGACAATGTATGTTTTGTATACCATTTTCTCCGCACAATAAGATATTGCAGTCTTTGGCTCACTGTCAAAATTCGAGAGCGCAAATCAGGTTAATGCGCGCGCGTTAATCAAACATCCGAAACCCAGTCACCATGGTCTCTACACCCGATTGGTTAGAAACGCCGTCTTTGGATTGGCTGCAGCGATGCGTTCACACAACTATAGAAGCCAATTTCCGCACTGAAGAAATTATGAGATAAAACGTTGTCAAAACACAAACGACATCTTTATGTAACCGTAGTGGAGCGTAGATGACAACCAGCTACAACCAGCTACAACCAGCTACAACCATCATTACCGGCACATTAAGACCAATACGTCCAGCTCGCAGACCGGCTGGTGATTTGCCGCCGTAGCAGTCAAACGTTTGGCGTCGGGGGGGATGTGGGGAGGTGGAGACGGTGCTTTCAGGGTCCGATCGATGCTGCGAGGTGCGTCCGCTCCCGCCGCCCCCCTCGCCATCCACGCCTTAAATCTTCGCCTGCCAAGGGCTCCTTTTAGAATAACTTATTTTCCCCGTTAAGATGGTTCAGCTACTGTAAAGAAAATGGCACCGTCTCTTGCTCTTTAATCTCATGAAGTGCTCGGCGAGAACGACAACTTTGTTTCTCCGACGCGCCCTGAAACAAGCTCCGTATCGTTGTAGCCGAGCTTTGGCGTGTTTGGCAGAGCGCCTTGAGCGCCGTGTACAACCAGTAAGGATTAACCGATTAACCAATTGATCCATATATATACGGCGCTCCGGATTATAAGGCACTGTCGTTTGAGGAAATTAAAGTATTTTAAGTGCGCCTTGGAGTGCGGAAAATGCGGTATATTTACTTTAATACTACAAGAGGGCGCCCCATGTGACATTGGTTTGTTTGGCGGCGCCTTTTGTTGAATAACGACAGGCGGACAAAAGCAGCCGTTTCAAGCGAGAGCCTTATTGTTTGTAAATTGTTTGTGCTTCATCAATCAATGTTTCACATAACTAATGTGCCGCATCATAAATATTTTCATATTAATTTCAAACTTTTCAAAATTGGAAATTAAAAACTTTTTGTTTATTTATTGTAAATGACCTCTCGCGGCCCACGATCGCTGTATTAAAGAATCAACATCCATGTTATTGAAGTGATCCAGTCCCTGGAGGAGGAGAGGTGTGATAGGAGAACACACTAACCTGTGCATTGCGGAGGTTCTGGGCCTCAGGGTTGTGCAGGCCCGGCCTCACAGGCAGCTTCCCCAGGCCAGGAGAGCTGTGGCTAGTAGGAGGCTGCACAGAGGAGGCAGTGTTCTGAACCACTGGGACCTGCAGCAGACAACATGTGTGTTTGCATAGAACCATTTACATCTCAGCTAGAAGAGCAGCCAATCTAAAAGGAGCGTGCCACAGACTTAGGCCTCATCATTTGGTCACCATAGCAACAAGCATAGCATAGACTGCGCTACATTTTGGTGCTATTATCTTAAAGACGGTTCGGAGGATGAAGTCAGAATGAATCACTTCGCACTAATCAGCTATTGTTATTTCCCACAATGCACTGCAATATGTGAATATCTGTGCTGACTGTAAGCTCCTCACAGAGTGTGGTGTATAGCAAACAGGGTATTCAGATGCTGTAGTTGTATTCTGGGGTTTAGGTGCACACATACTTCTGTCATTGAGATTGTGTAGTTTACACGTCCCCTGATGCATGCTGGTACGCCGCAGTGGGAGAGCTCAGTCGACATAGCATGCAGTGGGAAGTGGATAACTTCAGTTGCGCACACACAAAGGTGGAGAATTGTCCCTTTGTTGCCATTTCACGTAATAAAAGTAGGATAACAGTATGAAATCCCACATTTCAATGAGTTAAAGTTTTACTCAAGTATTAGCATCAAAATGGGTTGGGTTATACACTACGGTCGAGTAGCTTAATCTGTAAAGATGAATAAAAAAGTTTTTTATTGTCATTGTCACGGAACAACTACATTTCATTCATAATAATAATAATAAAACTACATCATTTATATTCATTAGTTATATTTTGTAACAATAATAATAATATAACGTGAAACTGCAGAATAAACAGAGGCCGCAGCGGCAAATGGTAAATGGTAAATGGCCTGTACTTGTATAGCGCTTTTCTAGTCTTCTGACCACTCAAAGCGCTTTAACACTACATGACATCATTCACCCATTCATTCACACCCATTCATACACTGATGACAGGAGAACCACACACAGTGACACCTGCCATCAGTAGCTAACATCCACACACTGTAGTCGCAGCTACAGGAGCCATGTTGGGTTAAGTGTCTTGGCCAAGGACACAACGACATGCAGGTTAGCCGGGCCTGGGATCGAACCGACAACCCTCTGATTGGAGGACGACCTGCTCCCCACTCACCCACAGTCGCCCACCAAATGATACGTCAGTAACTGTAAAGTACAGTTCCCCTGCGAATGTAACGGTCCACCAGCAGTGGAACCAGAAGCGGAACTCACCTTCTGCACCACGTTCTCTTTCTGCATCTGGCTCTGTCGGAGCTTCTTGAGCAGCACAAGGCGAGCCTCCTCCAGACGCAGCTCCTCCCTCAGAGCTTTGATCATCTGCTGCCTCTCTTCTCCTGTCTTCCCCTGCAAAACACACAGACAGACTTGTGTCTATTTCAGCCTAATATCACAATGATGCATTCCTGACTTCTACTGTATTTAATCGTTTGGATTTCTCCTCATGGAAGATTACAGATGTGATGTGCCTTTGACAGCTGGAATGTCTCACTAAAGAAACCACCATGCTAAGGAATCAGGGCCTGTACAGCGATGCGCTCTCACACCAGGATAGCTGCAGAGAGCTCCGTGTCCTCCCTAAATTCTCACCTTGAACAGGTCCAGGTTGGGGTGGTGCAGGCGCTCCTCGGGGCGGGGCGTCGTTCTGGGACTGGACGCCTCGTTGTCCGACAAAATAATGACGTCTGGAGACGGAGTTCGTCTGTCATGGTCTGCTTCACTACACCGGGGAAGTGGAGAAGCACAGAAGCTTTTAGTAGAGCATAAAATGCATGCAGACGACACGGACTGAGAGAGCTGACTTGGGAGTCGGTGCTCACCTCTTTGGAGTCGGATGAGAGGGGCCTTTAAGAGCTGCTAGCCGGGATGTCGCTTTAAATACGGTCAAGCTCTCTTCATATTTCAATTGAATCCCACTGGTCACTTCAAAGTGATGCAGCCCGGAGGGACAAATGCCTTCATGCCGTACCAGCTGATATCGTTTCTGTGCTGACTGCAGTAAGAACATCAGTATCGTGCACGCTGCTTGTGTGGGTGTACACAGCTTCAAAAATGTATAGTGATTCTTTCTTTTGTCTGCCTCTGCAACGGATAAGGCCTCAGATCTGCCTGTGTGCATTTTTTGCCTCATGGAGCAATTTTATGTTTTGTGGACCAGTCTGCAAGGTGCGGCGGATAAATGTAAATAATTGGCCGACCGGGTGGGTGGGTGGTTGATCACCCATGTGGCCTGCAGCTTTCTGTAAGAAGAACCTGTGAGGCCTCTTTGATAACGCTTATAGTTGGCGCTGGCTCAGGTCAGCCTGGACCAGCCCTTTGATAAGTTGCTACAGGTCTAGACTACAGGGGGACTTCCTTGGACACACTGAGCTCCTCCCCTCCTTCTATAAGAATTCACATCACTGATTCAGCTTCTTCCTGAATTGCAGTTTTTGTGCTTTCTCACCTCAAGTTTCCATGGATCATGCTTCTATCTGGACCCTGGTCCTGTCATGGCCCTTCTGACAACTGATGCTGCCATTATTATAGTGATTAGTATTAATCACATTACTATTACAGTCATCATAAACCAATATTACCCTTTCCTAAAGTCTTTGCACTTTCCCTCCCCAAAAGGCTTCTGTGGATGGTGGTTGTATTTGAATCATTTCTGTTATAGGAATTGAATGCATTGTATATTTTTTACATTGTTCATTCTGTACACATGGCATCCATTGTAGTCTGTCCATCCCGAGAGTTTCACTTTTGGGGGAGTTTTTCCTGTGCCGATGTGAGGGTTTCTGGACAGAGGATGTCACATGTGTAACTGAACTGGACTGGAGTCTTCTGAGGCAAATTTATTAATTCGGGTTCTACAAACTAAATTTAATTGAATAATTATATTATTAGTAGTATTAAGGCCGGCGCATGCGTCTGTGTCGTTGCGTCGACGCACTCGTTTCAAATCATGGTTCTAAAAGTCTTGCGTGTGTTGCAGAGCAGTTCACCTCCAGAACAACAGGCGGAGTGACGTGTTTTGTTGAAGACGACCTAGAGAGTCACGTCTATTTATTTATTTATTTATCATAGACTTTATTGCCCCGTGCATCGCCACTGCTGCTTTTCATCAAGGACACATTTGTCCCGTATTTTCCTCCACAACTTTGTTCCCCTCGACCGGCAAACGGTCGAGGGGACAGCGAGGGGACAGCGACGCAAGCCTAGAAAAATGAGTCGACACACGCAAGGAGGTGTGAAAAGGTACGCAAGGGTCTGCGTCACTCTGAAAATGCAGAAGCATAAACTAGGCTTTAGCATCATTGCAAACTGGATACTGGCTCATAAACATTGGCTGCTGGGAACAAAGGGGTGGGTGTCCAGTAACCATAGAATTGACTGTATGATCCCTGACTGCTATGTTTTAGTGGCATAGCAGTCAGCTACGTTTTAAAATCAGGTCACTGGTCATTGCTATAAAAACTAGCGACCAGTGTGTTGTCGGTCACCTCATGGCATGGTGGTGTACCATGTGCTGCTTAGAGCAGCTGCCTCCACCCACTGCTATGTTCTTTCCTCAAATGCTGACGAGGGACCAATCAATAGATGCTTTGAGGCTCATGCTGGTTTGTTATTAGTGACACATGTATTTTTGCTACCAGGTCAAGTGTCTGCTTCCGTCCCTGTTTCTCTAATGATCGGATCGTGTTAATGCTTTGTTCTCACCATCTTCTGCCAGCACTCATGTCCACAGGCTCATCCAGCATGTTTTCCTTCCCGTTCTTACTGGTTCCAATATGGCTACCATGGCCTCCCAGCCTCAGACTCCCATTCAGCTTCTCCTCGTATGCGGCACCCATTAGGCTCTGGTGGTGGAGGGTGCTGGCTCCGGGCCCCTTCCCGTCTCCCATGGGCCCCGCCACCTCTAGGGCTGCCAGGTCAGCGAGGTCCTTGCGTTTCAGTAAAGCCAACATCTTGAGGCGCTCCATGGCCTCATGGCCTTCCATCTTGAGGCGCTTGGCCAACGCTTCCTCTCGCTCACTGGGCGACTCCAGGCCTCGCTTCAGCAAGTTGAGCCTCAGCGCCTCCTCAGACATCCGCTCCATCCTGGAGGGGAGAGGAGGACAAGATATAAGGGCAAGTTAGTTTGTGCTGAACATGTGTCAATGGCAAAATAGTAAGAAAAAAATGATAAATAGAAAAATAAGGATGTGGTTCTTGTAGCTGCTACATGCATTTATTACGTGTTTCAAAGAAACATTGCCAAAGTTCAACCGGCTATGGTCGTTGTCACCATCAGTGGGACTATCTAGATCAGGAGGATCGCTTTGTGGTTCCGACACGCCGATTTATGTATCTGGACCGCGCACCTTCCATTTCTGCTGGTGCAGCATTTCTAGCTTTACACACCAACCAATTCCCTGTGTTGTAACTGATTTTGTGTGAAGATAAGCTCCTCAACTTCACACAGGCGGAGTAGTAGAGTCACAAGTTTTTTCACATGGCGTTCTCCAAGAAGAAAAAAAGTGAACAACGAGACCCGAGCCTCCAACCAACAATGGAAAGACTCTTCAGAGTGCATTATTCATTTCTAAAACGACAAAAGTTAAATTCATTTTTTTTTTAAACAAAGTACTTTATTTCACTTTCAGTACCAGTCAAAAGTTTGGACACATTTTCTCATTCAATGACAAAGTGTGTCAAAACCTTTGACTGGAAGTGTATGGAATTCATTCCTAAATCCATTTATTTCCATTTTACTTGAAACAAGAAAAAAACATTTATTTATCTAGTACGTATCATTTGCAATCTAACTAGTTAAATTTGAAGATTTACAATACTATTCAGCCATTATTCAATTGATTTTTCCCTGCTTCAGTTGGAGCTACATGTTAAAACAGATGTTTTCCACTTTAATATCTATGGTAATAAATCAGCAGAAGTTAGACATTATTGTGATGTTTCACACCTTTATGAGGAAAGTGAAATATTCTGGTTTAACGAGAAACGGTCCAGTGCTTTAACGGCTGTTAAAGAGTTCCTACCGGCTGAGAGTAGTCAAGACAGAGCTGGAAACAAACAGATGAAAAGTATTAGTCAGTAGTACTTGTACTGCTCCTCTTTTGTGGAACCAGCTTCCACTTTCAGTCCGGGGGGCAGATTCGGTCAGCTCTTGTAAAGTAAAACTTAAAACTTTCCTTTGATTGTGCTTATAGTTAGGGCTGGCTCAGGTTAGCCCGGACCAGCCCTTAGTTAAGCTGCTATAGGCTTAGAATGCCGGTGGACTTCTTAGGACACACCGAGCTCCTCTCTCACGCTCTCGTTCTACCATAATTCAAGTTTTATTAATGCACATGACTAATTCAGCTTCTTTCCGGGAGTTTTTTTTTTGCTTTCTCCCCTATCAGGTCTCCGTAGATCGTAGTTCCTTCTGGACCCTGGTCCTGACACCTGCCGTGGCCATGCTGACGCCTGCTGCTTCCATCATCATCATCATTATTATTTTTAGACATTAATCATATTACTGCAATCATAAACCAACATTACCCTCTCCTAAAGTCTCTGTGCTCTCGCTCCCCACAGCCTTCTGTGGATGGTGGTATGTGATGGGGGTTCTATGTGACGGTGGTTCTATGTGATGGTGGTTCTATGTGATGGTGGTTCTATCTGATGGTGGTTGCCCCTGCAGTGGTCCTGCTGTGCGTCTGGCTTACTACTCACAATTACTTCAATCATTTCTATCATAGGAATTGCATGTATTATACATTGTTCATTCTGTACACATGGCATCCATTGTAGTCTGTCCATCCCGGGAGTGGGATCCTCCTCTGACCTTCTCCCTAAGGGTTTTTCATTTTTTGGGAAGTTTTTCCTGTGCCGATGGAGGGTTTTGGGACAGAGGATGTCGTATGTCTACAGACTGTAAAGCCCTCTGAGGCAAATTTGCGATTTTGGGCTATACAAAATAAAATGAATTGAATACTGCCATCCATATCCATCATGGTTTGGAATATTAGGGGAATGACCAACTTACATCATTGTTCTTATTTTCATGGGGGAAAAAAGATCACGGTGTGTTTCTAAGTAAAAAGCGTCCCCCAGAAGCACACTTAAGGGCCAACACGGACAGGCGGCCGTTTGCACTACTAGTGTGCATGGGGTGTTCAGCATGCTGATCAAGACTTTTGTGAAAGTGGTTTAAGGTCGCGATTCTTGTCCCAAAGATGTCTGGCTTCATTCAGTGATTGAAACTGAAAGTTCTACAGTACCGACATTGAACTCGTCGAGAGAGCTGTGCTGTAAACATGGAACTTTTCCTTGGCATGAAACGGGAAATAACCAAACCAGTGCATTGAGCTGTTGTCGCCTATCGAGTCGATTTTATTCATGCAATATATATTCAGTACAGGCGCGCGCCCGCCCGCAAGGTGTAACCACCCACACCAGCAGTGTTCAACTTATATTGAAGGGGAAAAGGTAAGAATAACATTGACTATTTGTAAAAGAAAAAAAAAAACTAATAATCTATAGACACTACAGACAGATACGCACGCACGCACACGCACAAACACAGCATTGAGGCTTTTCACTCCCCATGGTGACCCCGATGAACTGAGGATTAGAACATTAGCAGACGAGACGACATGGAAGCGGGTCGCTGTGTTTGATGGGGACCATTTCTTAAATGTTTCATGCCTCTGAGTCGGTGTGCGTGTGAGGGAGGGCTGTCAACGAATATTCTATATTCCAATATAGAACAACTTTTCAAATGTGAAAATTAATATTTGAATGTAAAAAAACAACAACAAAAACGGCGGTGTGACTGTCTGCCTTGCGGGTGGGCGCGCCGGACTACTGGCTGTATATTGCATGAATAAAATAGACTAGACGTACATGAAGATTTCGTAGCCTTAGTTTGATTATTTGCAGTTTCATGCGAAGGAAAAGTTCCATGTTTACCATGACACAGCTCGCTCGGAGCGTTCAATGTCGGTACTGTAAAACTTCAATTAATGTTAATAATATTTGTCTCAGTCACCGAATGAAGCCCACCATATTTGGGACAAGAATTACAACCTTAAACTGCTTGCACAAATGTCTTGATCAGCACTCAGCATTTGTTTATTGTTGTCGTTCATTTAAACCGCTTTGTGCAGAGAGAGCGAGAGTTCATTTACGTATTACTTTAATCATCACAATTACTTAATTTACTTATTTGTAGGTAATATGTTGTTAAATGTTTCAACTTAAATAAAGTACCTATACAAGTAGTTATGTCTCCTTGTATTAATTTGTCCTGATATTGACGTGCCTAATGCGCAACCAGATATTCAAATATATGTGTTTTTTTAAAGCGAATATTCGAACGCCATTTTGGAGCAATTTTGACCCTTTAGCCCTAGTGTGAGGAAGACAACGAGCAGAGTCAGGTGAGCATGAACCTGGTCACATGACTGGCCCCAGCGTGGCGCTTTACAGAGCATTGAACCAATCAAGATGTGGCCGCTGACCACAAGCTGGAGGAGCTGACCAAGCCGATCATTAAACACTGTACACTCGATATTCTTCACTTCAACTCCACTTCTAGTTCAGTCCAGATGTAGCAGAGCTCTGCATGAACGTACAGCATGCATCCTGATGGACGTCCCTCCCTACTGGGCCGTCCCAAAGCCAGAGGCCTGTAGCCTTGCTGAGACATGAGTGGCTGCACGCTCGCTTCAGACAACACACATATGCTAATAATGCTAGACACATCTTCTACAGGAAGCACATTCGGCAGCCGTCGGTGCTCACAGGCAGTAGGTGCAGAAATATCAAAGCTTACCATCGGGTAATTTCTCTTGTGCTGATATGTCCGCAACTGGAAGCATTTCAAAATGAATAAATCCTGTTTCAAAGGGATTTATATTGCTTCAAATCCCTTGGCTCTGCTATTTTAAGGTGCCTCCTGAGCTAAGGCCACTGACCTTTTCTCGCCCCCACAGACACAAACCCACACCACGAAATAACCACACCATAATAACCACGAAATAATCACACCACCAGCACCAACTCAGCCCCCCACCAGGCCATCACATGGCCTACTAGGCCACCCAGGTGGTGCACAGCAAGCACCCATTGTATCGTGAGCTGCTTGCTGATAGTCTTAATAAACCCACAGCGCAGCGCTTTTCCTCCCCTATGTGCTCCTCAAACACTCCGGCTGGTAGAAAAGTGCCTGTGATATCATGTGGAAGATGGAGGCTTATCTTCATAGCTGCTGGTGGCTTTAATCACTGCTGCAAACGACACAGCAGACCAGTGGTGAGCACAAAGTATGAACCAAGGCAATATAGGGACCAGGACACCATACACACTGATCTTTTCCCAAACACTACTACTACATCTGGACATTATCCGTGACATTTTTAACACTTCTGGAGAATCTCAGCGAAACAAACCTCAAGTGTTTTTACGGCGCAAAACTTTCCACTGGTTTGGAATGTGTGAACCCATTTTCTACAAATGATCAACAGTAAATATTACTGACGACAGAGAAAATGAACAATATATATCCAGCATGTTTCAGCATCCAAAAGAAGAATGGGAACCAATGGCTGCATGTAAAGCGTGTACATGCAGTAACCCTCAGTAATGTAACAGCAGAGTTAAAACATATCTTCTCCTCCGATCCGTCCAACGGACTGACTTCCTGTGCCAAAGGATGCTTCCCATCCCCAACACCAAACCCTGTACCGCCGCTCAGTTTGCCAAAGTTGTCATGCATGGCGTCAGAGACCGTAGCTCAAGCGGAGATGTAATTGGTCAGCGCTCCATGAGCAGATTACTGCAGCTGCTAGTGGTTCCATCGGGTCCCCTCGTGTATTGTGTGACGGTGCCGAGGCTCCGGTCCTTAACGTCTGCGTTTTCCAGCCCACCCGCTGCAGCCCCTTCGACACACGAAGGAGCCTGCGATGAAGAGACGGCTGTGGACGAGTCCCAGTGACCCTCCCAGTCCCTTCTTCTGCTCGGATTCTTTTCTTGACATAGGAGGAACTCAGTTGTTGGAAAAAAACCAAAACACAAGCGACCCTTTTACACCTCTCTGCCGAGCCTCCACCTTTAA